GGCACCCCTGGGCACCTTCGGGCACCCCTGGGCACCCGGGCACCCGGGCACCCGGGCACCCCTGGCACCCAGGCACCCGGGCACCCCCGGCCACCGAAATCGGCGACGTAGGTCACCTACACATATGAGTCCGGTAGGACCCTTACTGAGGCAAGCTCTGATTGGGGAAAAAGAGAGAGAGTGACTTGAGGGGCGCCCGAAGCTCTAGTCTAGGTACCCCCAGCAGCGTTCCCATTCCAAGGCCCCCCGGAGGAGGAATAAGGTGAGCGACGGCATGGTGCGGCATCGCGGTTTTCGCCTGAGTCGTTCACTCAGCCATGATGCTGCTGCAGGTGTGTTTCCCACGCAGTTTTTGGAACCGCGCTCTTCCGAAGATCCCAGGGTGACGATATTTTTCGTGAGTGTCTGTTTATATTGAAATGTAAATTCAGAGACAGAGCCAGAGCCAGGGCATAGACCATAATCATGACCAAAGACATAACCAGAGCCATAACCATAATCAGGGCATATCCATAACCAGAGGCAGAACACGACCAGTAAATCACTAGGCCAGACCTACGCATGAAGACGCTGCTTGCGTGGCTCGGGATGTGCACGGAAGATGCTGCCAGTGCGAAGCCTGACCACACCTACGCAGGAGGTAACACAACAGCACAACTGCGAAATGTCCCTGGCCAGACCGACGCATGAAGGTGCACGTGTGCAAATGGGTTTGGCCAGGCCTTCGCATATGCCAACGGCAATGCTGGCGACGCAAGCATGCAATGCAACGCCGTGGGACCGCACTCGCTTACGAAGGGCAGCAAGCAACGTGACCGCGAGGCTCAAGCCCCTCAGCCCCGCTGACATGCCGCGCCCGCTTTGCGAGGCTGCGCGCCGCGCGGAGGCTGTGGCCAGACCCGAGGCCCCGCCGCGACCTGGCTGGGCCCCGCGTCGAAGAGCTGCCCTGCCTAGATCATGACTGCTTGCGGTTGGGGTCCGCAGCCGGCTGCGCCAGAGGCGGCGCAAGCTGCGGCGAGGCCTGAGCCACAGCTGCGAGCGCCTTTTCCGACACCGTGTGGAAGTGGGGCAATTTCCAGGCCTCCATGCTCAGGGAGGACCCCGTGAAGCAGGAGCATCACGCAGGAGCAGAGCTTGCTCCGCGCTGCCCTCGCAGTCAGACTTGACAGAACCTCGGACTTGATAGGATCTCCACCTCCACCGCCTCAGACCTGACATGACCTCCACCTCCGCCCAAAGGTGGTCGCCTTGCGCGTCCGACGGCGCCGGCACGGCCTTTCCTCGGCAATGTGCACCGCGCCGGCCGTGACCTTCTCGTCGGGCTCCGTGGGACGCGAAAGTGAGGCACACTCGACCACCAGCGTCGCCGCGGTAAGGGCCTGCCCAGCGAATTCGGCTTCAGCCCGCCTCGGTGTGAGCGCCAGCCACCGCCTCGGCTCAACCTCCTTCCTGCTCGTCACGTGCGGAGCCTGAGCGAGGAATGGGACGAGCGCCATCAGCACCTCCAGCTGCTTCAGCCAGCGCGCCCTCTCAACGCCAGGCGAGACGCATGGGCCAGACACGACGGGCCTTGGACCCGGTGGCGCTCTACCTCGGCGAAGGCGTGGAGGAGCCGCATGGCCGCGCGCCCCTCAGCGCAGGCGTGCTGCGCACGGCGTCCGGCCGCCGAGCGGTTGGGGCGGCGGTGCCTCGGCTCATCGTCCCAAGCGGCCGCTGTTGCCGACGGAGCCACAGAGGAGAAGCCCGAGGGCCGAGGGAGGGGAGAAGCGGAGAGCGGGGTCTCCGTGGCGCTGGCTCGGCGGCGAGCCGTGGCTCGACCCGCGCTGGCGCTAGGACGAAGCGGAGGTTGAGGAGGAGGTTAAGGAGGAGGGCGAGGAGGAGGAGGAGGAGGAGGACAAGGGGGAGGGGGAGCAGTAATAACAGCGCGAACAAGCACAACAATGATGCTAGAGGAGGGAGTGGGCTGGGAGCGCCCAGCACGGCGGTCCGTATCCAATCGATCGCGTGTCGCTTTTCTAACACTTCCCCTTCGGGGCCAGCCCGCAGCTGCCCAACGGACGAGGACGACAGCGTAGAAGGATCCGGAGGAGGCCAGAGGGGGAGAGGCGGGAGGGGGCCATTTCAGAGGACGGGCACGAGAAGAAGGAGGAGGCGCAACAAGCGCGAGCGTAGACGTGCATGTGCCCGACATATCATGCCCACGTGCCAGCACATTCGTAGGCAATGAAGAAATACGCCTTGCATCCGTGGCGAACTGTCCCGTCTTTCATATGAGTTGGGCCGTCTGCTTCCAATGCAATATTTCGTCTCATGCGCAGTGTACATGTTTTTGTTTCATACGGCGCCGTTGCGGGCATTGGCGTACTGTAAGGTTATCGAATCTCAGCGATATTGCTTGACGCCGCGACCTGTGCGAGCACGGCTGCTCTCATGCGGGTGCCCTTCGGGTGCGCGGACGATGACTATCATAGCTCATGTTGTTAGTGTCAGGTTGATAATGTATTCTTTGTCGCTTCCATGCTTGGTTGATTTGTTGTACTCTTCGCTTCCTCTATGCCTGTGTCGAGGTCGCCTTTGCGAGCTCTACCTTCGTGGGGTCCTCTTGGGCCAGTGGAGCCTGCCCAGGCGACCAAGCTACCACCAAGCATGTGCTCCTCGCGTGTCATTTCGAAGCTTCATGCACAGGCCAGTCGAATCATGTATTCTGCACGTCAGGCAGGCTTATGTAGAGGCAACGGCGTTGGAACTTGCATGAAATGCTCGATGAGCTGAACAGGCCCGCAGCTCTGATGCTGACTGCGTTTTGCTTCGACGAGGTTTTAAGACAGGATACGCGATGCTCTGTATCTGCGCTTGCGAATTGTCGGTGCCAGGCAACCTGCAAACGCGCACGCAATTCGCGCAACCACACCAAATGTGTCAATCTTGTGAGGCACATGCTGCAGTAATCGCTCCTTGTCAAGTTTCGTGTTTGTGTGTGTGTGTGTCCGGCTGCGCTGGAATGACACCCTCTTCGTTATGATGGCATTCGGTTATGGGGTTAATGCGTCTTCGTTTAGTGTAACACATTTCTCTGTCTCTGTGCATCGTTATATAATTGATTTATACATGCATATTTATATATATATATATATATATATATGTATACATATATACATACATTGTATGTATGTCTAGCTATGCATGTGTTAGCCAACGTGGAACCTCAAACAATGTGCTTCTACCAGTATGTGTTGTGCAATGAAATGTGGAACAGTTCATTTTTTGCAACAAAAAATGTCGTGCAGCTTATGTGGTGCACTGCCAGTTCTGCACTATGTGTTGCAATCCGTGTGGTGCAATCTAGGCGGTCCAATAATCTATGTTGTGCAAGCTATGTGGTGTTGTCTAAGTGGTTAAATCTGTGTTATGCAGTTTATGTTGTGCACTGTATGATGTGCCGTCTGTGTGGTGCCATATGTGTGGTGCAATATACGTTGTGCAGTCTATGTGGTGCAATACGCGTGATGCAATCCATCTGGTCCAGTCTATGCTGTGCAATATTGTTTTCTGCCAGCTATGTGGTGCAATCAATGTAGTGCAATATATGCTGTGCAAGTTTTGTGGTGCAATCTACTCCATGCAATTAATGTTTGTCCGCCGTGAGTTGTCAACTCCACTGCTCGCGCAATCATCCCACCCACCCGCCCACCCGCAACTTGGTTCGCAAAACCCATGCGGGGGCGATTGCGATGACTGTTTGGCGCTGGTTGACACATCGCTGCGGCCGCGCTAGCGCGGGCAGGCTCGCGCGCAGAGCGACCAGCTAGTCAGGCGCGACGGACGCGGCCGCGGTGGCGTTGACCGCTGGGGACTTCCCAACACGCCTCGCGGGCCGCGCTGACGCGCGGGCACAGCAGCCCAAGTCGGTGACTCGGGTGGGCGCGTTATCATGTCGACGTCGACAACGGCGGACACGATGATGATAGTAACAATGCTGGCGACGATGATGACAATGACGACGGCGATGGCGATGACGGCGCCGATGCGATGCTGACCGCGTCGATATCGATGATGGTGCCATCGCGTCGGTAATGAATGTTTGGGACGGATTTCGACATGCGCGCGCGGCCGACATGCGCGCGCGCGAGCGGCCCGCATGGTATTAGTTGACAGGGGTCCTGCCCCCCCCCCAGCACGCGCGCAAGGGCGTTCGAATGATTCCGACATGCGCGCGCGAGGGGCCTGTTTAGTCGCATGTGACGTACATGTGGAAGAGCCAGAGGTTTTTGTTAAGATCTCGCAAACTCGCGCGCGCATGTTTGAAAACTCATGCCGCGCACCAATATGTTTATTTACATGTTTTCTGGGCACTCGGTATTGGAATCCTTACGAAACCCAAGGTTCTTGAAGGATTCCGGCATGCGCGCGACGACGCGCGCATGTGCAGTTCGTCCCGTGTTTTTTGTTGCAAACGGTCTTTGAGAACGGATGTTTTTGGGTAAACGAGTGCGCGCGAGAGTCTTATTCGAAAGGGAGGTAGAGGGGTCGATTACCGGATTGCCTGGGATGGTACGAATTCATAGTTCGGGCGGACGAGCGTGCATAATCATATACGAACGCATTACGAAAAACGTGGCCTGTTATTCGTGTGGGGGGGGGGTAGGTCCGAGTTCTTTTTGTAAGAAGGAGACTTGTGTTGTACAATCTAGGGCGGCCACGAGGCGGCGGGCGGTGACGGTGACAACAACATAGCCGCCAGACCGACAGACAGGCCCAGACGACGGGTGGCGACGGTGCGGCGACGGGGCGGCGACGGCGACAACATAGCCGCCAAAACGACCGACACGCCCAGCTCCTGCGTAAAAAGTAAGAGCCCCTAAGTGCAAGTACGGTTAGGGGAACGTGCGTCTGTACATGTGTGTACATATACACACATGCTTTACATATACGTATGTGCCGTGCGCGTCGCTGATATGACCCATCCTCGAACCTCTGTCATACCTCCCATTTCGGACCAGGCGATCGACATCTACTTCTTGCCTTTCACGCCCCCGCTGAAAGTTGACACGCCGCTGGACTCCCAGCTGGAAGGCTTCTTCGGTCCGTTCCTGTCTCCGATCATAGTATTCCAGGGGCTACGCCTGCAAACGGCTCTTTGTACACTCCCTTGAGAGGTATGTTGGAGGGTTGACTGTTCAACATGCCCGCCTCGGCTGGTCTCCCCATGCAGTAGAGTTGCGCTGCTCAGGTATTTTTGATCACCTTCCTCATCCAGCAGCAGATCAACGGCTTCCGGCGGGAGCAAGAAATGAAAGCGGCAAGCGCTGCGGCCAATGCTGTAGGCAGACCCACTATACTTGCAGCACCTTGTGCGCTGCTCCATGCCGGACCCTGCTCCATGCCGAACCCTCGCCATTCTCTGGAGCTCGTCTTGCTGCCCAGCATTCCACCTTCTGTCGCCGCCTCTGCGCCGAGACACACCAATCGACGACGGCGACGATGATACGGCCATCGGTTACGAGTTGAATTGCCCGTCTCGCAAGACACCCTCAGCACCCCGATCCTCCCTCCCCCTTCTCCTCCTGCTTCCTCTCGTTCCACGCGTCCTCCCACCCCCCCCTCGTCCTCACTCCCCTCTCATTCCCCCTCCTTGTCTTTCCCCCTTCCCCTCCCTCCTCCCTCCTTGCTTCTTACGCCCTCAGGTGCGTGAAGACGCGGGGTCAACTGGGAGAGGAAATGCTTACGATTATGGCAAGTAGTTTCCGCAACCGAGCGCGATTGTCGTCTCAGTAGGTGTCTTTAGAGGCTTCCTAGACGGCGGGCTTGGGATCATGCCGGGATGTCTGTGTTGGCTCTCATTCCTTCTCCCTCCTACCCCTCCCCTTCTCCGTTGTCACCCATCCTTCGTCTTCGTCTGTTCTCCATTCTTCCTCCACCCCCTCTCCGCCATCATCGCCTCCCTCCCCACCCCCCTCTCCCTGCTTTCCATGTTCATCCCGTCTACCTCATACCTGCTACCTCATCCTTCCCTGCATACCCGTCTTCCTCCTCCTCCTCCTCCTCCTTCTCCTCCTCCTCTTTCTTCTCCTCCCTGCCTCGTGCTCCCAATTTCCCGATCGTAAGACTTCTTGCGCTTGGTGGTGGCTGCAGTATCATCAGGGTTTTGACAATCGTTGTCCCGCCTGGACGAGTGCAGCCCCGCCTGGAGACAGGCCAGCCTGACCAGATGACGCGCTTCCTTGTCGGTGGGGGACGGAGCTTGGTGTGGGTAGGAGAAGCGGGAGGCGGAGGACGAAGGGAGAATAAGATCGAGGAGGACGAGGAAAAGGATGAGGAGGCGGCAGGGGAGGAGGAGGAGCAGGAGGAGGAGGACTAAGAGAAGAGGAGGACGAGGAGGAGGAGGAGACGAAGACCGAAAAAGAAGAAGATACAGAAGGCGGAGGAAGGGGAGTTTACGGATCATGTTGATGATGAGGAGGGCGGGACATGAGGAGGGTGGGAGGATATTGCGGCTGCGCTTCGGTAGGGCGAGTATCAGCGCTTAGTAACGGCAGTCGCAGTCAACTTACAGGGGTGACCATCGTAGTAGTATTAGTGGCCTTGATTTTCGTATTGCTAGTATCTTCAGCATTCCTAGTTACACATGGGTAGTTTGTTGGTCGTATCCGTTCAAGTAGTATATTGGGATGATTCTGGTGGTAGTGACGGTGACTGTGACGGAGCGGGCGATGGTGATGATGATGATGCTGATGATGACGACGACGATGGTGATGATGGCGATGGTGATGGACATGTTGATGTTGATGATGCTGATGATGATGATGATGATGATGATGGTGCTAGTGATGATGATGCCGGTGATGATGCGTTGGTGATGGAGATGATGATGCCGATGATTATGTTTATGGTGTTGATACTGATGCTGATGATGATGATGATGATGATGATGCTGCTGCTGATGATGGTGCTGATGATGATGATGCTCATGCTGCTGATGATGATGATCATGTTGGTGGTGGTAGTGATGCTGACGATGCTGATGCTTATGCTGATGCTGATGCTACTGTTGTTGATGATGATGGTGGTGATGGTGATGGTACTGGTGATGGTGATGGTAATTATGATGATGATGCTGAGGCTGCTGGTGATGATGATGCTGATGCTGATGCTTATGCTGATGCTGCCCATTGACAAGGGGGATGAGGATGAGGATGATGATTAGGCTGATGCTGATGCAAATGCTGATGCTGATGATGATGCTGCTGCTGGTGATGATGCTGATGCTGATGCTGATGCTGATGATGATGCGGATCAGGCTGATGATGATGATGATGCTGATGATGCTGATGATGCTGTTGATTGTGATTATGATTCTGCTGCTGATGGTGATGATGGTGATGATGCTGCTTATGATGATGATGGTGGTGATGCTGATGATGCTGATTATGATGATGATAATGATGATGATGATGATGATGATGATGATGATGATGATGATGATGATACTGATGATGCTGCTGATAATGGTTATGATGATGCTGCGGAGGAGGATGGTGATGCTGATGCTGCTGATGATGCTGATGCTGATGCTGAGGCTGCTGGTGATGATGATGATGATGATGCTGCTGATGATGATGATGCTGATGATGCTGATGCTGATGCTGATGATGATGCTGACGATGTTGTTGATGAGGATGATGATGCTGATGATGATGATGATGATGATGATGATGATGATGATGATGATGATGATGACGATGACGATGACGATGACGATGACGACCCCCCCCCACACCACTGACGGGAGCGTCGAGAGCTCCTCGCCCACTTGTCCGCGCAGCCTTCCCAAGACCAGGGATGGCAGCTGCGTGAAATGACGTCAGCTGCGAGGCGAACCTCAGCACAGCGGCGACGAGGCAGGACCCTCGACGCCCAGAAGGCAAGGCCTCCGTCTACCCCCCCCGCTGCTGTCTGAGGCCAGCAGGGGACACGGCCAGTGCCCCGCAACCGCGCGGGCCCGTGGGCCAGGCGGCCAAGCACACCCGCCCTCAAGTGAGCGCCCACCGCCAGCCACCAGGGGTCGACGCGGCCAGGATTTCGAGCAGGCCCGACCGCGCCAAATGGATTCGTGCGGGAGTACCTCACCGCGCAGGAGCGAGCTTCTTGCGTCTTAGCTCGCCCGTGGGCATCCCCCGATCGGCTGCGGCGCCTCTGTCTCCTCGCCACCGCCACTGGTTCCCCGAGCGAGCCCGACTGCGACGGGCGCAGGCGCCTCTGCAGCCTTCTCAGTGCGCCTCTCTGGCGGTCGACCGCCCTCCTCGGGCACGGTCCCGTGAGACCTACGACCCTGGCCGATGCCGCGTTGTACCCGCAGATGGAGCAGCATGTCTTCGGACCCGCAGCGTACAACGCGTGCGTGGGGGTGGATGTTGGCGTTCCATCACGGGGGCCTGGGCTCGATCTCCTCCTGCACCTCTCAAGCGTCACCAGAGGCTCCAGCACCTGGTCACTCGGGGGGGGGCGCCTCGACCATGCGCTATGCCACGACCTCGTCCCCCACGTCCACGCCCTTGCTGGGCGGCACCTTCAGCGCCAGCTCTGTTTCTTCTTGATGACCTCGGGCCGCTCCAGCGGGCGTTCCGCCTCCGTCTGCACTCGGGTCCTCCCCCTCGTTATGGTGGTTGCCCGCGAGCTGCGCGATCGCCGCGCCGACAGCCGCCGCCGCGACAGCGGCTGCCGCGTCCGTTCGCTTTGCCGAGCTTTTACCTCCAGTGGGTCTACGCCTGCTCTCAGCTGTGACGATCATCCTCAGCGGCAGCGGTGCGACGACCTTGGAAGGCCGTACCAGAACCCGCGCAGGATCAGCAGCCCCCTTTCACCCCCATGTTCGTGATGATGGCCGTGCCGCGACGGTCGCACACTCTCGCTGGGCATGCCCCACGTTTCACCTCGCAGTCCGCTTGCGGCCTCCTCGTGCACCCAGGCCAGGCGCAGCGGATCGCTTCAAGCCCAAGCGCGTCGAAGCCGGTGGTCGCCCTGAGGAGGGCGCCTCCAGCCTGCATCGCCTTCCCGATCCAAGCCGTGAGCTCCTCGGCCAAGTCCTCCGCCACCACGATGCGGCCCTGCCGACCCTGGGCCACTCCGTGAACGTGTGCTCCCTCATTCGCGCGCTTGTCCGCCCTGGCGTTCCCCGCGCGCTGCCTCTGCGAGGTGCGGCCCTCGCGGCCGTCGTACTCCGTGCAAAGAGCGTTCACTTTGGCGATGCTGATGTTCTGTCCGCCGTGGTCCTCGACCAGCCTCCAGAACTCGATCCACAGCCCCATGTGCGCCCTCCTCCACGCTGTGCACCACCTTCTCCCAGCTTCCCAGCCGTCATGCGCTATGGACGAGCCCGTGTACGATGGGCACTGGGCAGTTCCTGAGGGCGATGACCGCAGCCTGGAGTTCCCCTGCTATACTGTCCCGAAGGTGCGGCCAGGGGACATTTCCCCCAGATCGCGGTGCGCTCCGCATCACTCGCCAACGTAGACACCGCTGCCCAGTCAGCCTTCTCCAGCTGCCTGCACGTTGTACAGATCGCCGAGCCGTCCAAGAAAATATCCCTCTCCACGACTTCCCCAGGGGTGCTGCCCGCCCTCCTGGTGATGACCCCGCTGAGCGGCATCGGTGCCTCCCGCTTTTGATCCGAAGCCAGCCCCCTCGACCAAGTAGGGTGCCCCTCGCTGCCTCTTGGAGCGGCCACCTCAGCCTCTCTCAGCACAGCAAAGGCGGATGACTCCCCCTGCTGTGTCCTCCTCTGGCCGTCCAGGGCTGAGCACCTCCACGCCAAGCGTCGGGCCGTGCGCTCGTCCTCGCAGCCCCGCAGGTGTCTGGCCGACGATGCCAAGGGTAAGCTCGCCCTGGCTCGCCGTGCCACTGGCCACATGCATCCGACCATGGCGTTACGTGCCAACGAACTGCAAGCTGCCAGTCTCGCCGACGCCTTCTTGGACAGGAACCTCCTCTTCACGCCGTCGATGGGTCCACCGTGTCTCACCATATCCAGCGCCTCGTGGTAGTCCGTCGCCTCGCGCCACATCGCGCCCGCGACGCCCTGCTCCACGGCGACCTTCAGCGTGTGGAACCCGCACTTCATGAGGCCCAGCTTCCTGCTCCTGTCGTCCTCGATGGTCTTGACCGACTTCCGTGCTCCGGCCGATGCGCAGGCGCGCTAACAGGACCGCTCCCGCTTTGCCCGAGCCTTTCAAGCCCTTAGCCCCCCTTGTGCTCCAGCTTCTCTTTCGCCCCCAGGGACGCGCTCGTGAGGGCGCGGCGGTCTTCGAGCTTCGCGGCCAACTGCAGTCCCTTCGCGCAGGCGTCCGCCGGCCTGAAGACGTGCTGGAACAGCGGGTCGTCGCGCACCGTGGCCGAGGCCAGGAAGCTGAGAGTCACGCTGCGGCCAGGTGCGCTGCCAAACAGCAATGAGGCAGCCTCGTTCCCCCACCTATGCAGCTTCGCCTCCGACCATTCCATGGCCTCGCAGCCGAAATCCGTGGCTGGCAACGGTCCGTTCTACGCCAACTTCCGAGCGCTGGGGATGAACGCTCCTCTGGCCTGGGAGATGCGGGTGGCCTGCTCCGCCGCCTTCGCCTGCCTCTTGTCCGCCACCGTCGACGCGCCCGACTTGGCGCCATAGTCCAACCCGAGGTTGCGCGCCTCGTCTGACTGCCCGAGCTCGCCCACGCTGACGATTCTGACCAAGGCCTCTCACAACGCGTCGGATGACGCGAGCACCTCCGACTTGGCGCGCGAGACGATGCACCCCATGTCGACCTCTGGCTGCTCCTCCGAGGTAGTGCGCCTCCTCCCAGTACCTGCCCGCTATGCGAAGCGGGCAGCCGTCGAACATGATGGTTACGCTCACCTCCTTCCAAACGCAACGATGCTCAGCCTCGAGGACCATCATGGCACATCTGAGGATCTTCCTATCGTGGCTGCAGCCTGCGACAAGCCCACTCGTTCGCTCGCACGCCGACGCACTGATGACTCCGTCAATCATGATGTACGTGGGGCCCCCGTGCACGCACAGCGCCGCCTGGATGAGCTGCTAGCCATACTCCAGGTCCAGCGCCCTCCTTCCTCTGCGCCATAGCGAGAGAGGCCACCTCGTTGGCCTTCCATAGGTCCAAGAGCACGCAGCCTACTTCCAAGTGCTGCGCCCTGCTTGCCTCGTTGTGCAGCGGCTACTCGCACTTATCCTCCCCAAGCGTTCGCCCGCCAGAATGTCGGGCTCCCGCCTCTTGGCTTCTGGCCTCCGCATTCGCGCACACCATCTGGGGAAGCACTGGAGACGTTTTTTCGGCCTCCAGCCCCGACCTTCCTTCGCCAGCATGACAATCGCTGGGCAAATGGCCGCCTCTGGCAGCGTGCCGACCGCCTCGTGCCGAGCGAGGTGAGCACCTCCAGCATCCTCCTCGGAGACGTGCTCCAGCTGCCTCGGGTTGAAGTGGTACGGCCCGAGGCCGGAACTCGTGCCGAACGCCTTCGCCGCCTGCCTAGCCGCTTCGAATGTGGACCTCCTGAGTTGGGGGCCCCGCTGGTGACCGAACTCTGGAGGGACCAGGCGCCGTCCACCACTGGGAGTCTCTGCTGTCCTGGCCCTCCTTATGCGTCCACGACGCGACACTGCTTCCTCGTCTTGCGGAGCTGGTTGCCGTCTTGCATGGCTCCCGCTCCAAGGCCGAACACTCCCCACTCACCAACATCATCGTCATCATCATCATCATCATCATCATCATCATCATCATCATCATCATCATCATCATCATCATCATCATCATCATCATTATCATTATCATTATCATTATCATCATCATCATCATCATCATCATCATCATCATCATCATCATCATTATCACCGTCACCGTCACCATCACCATCACCGTCACCATCATCATCATCATCATCATCATCATCATCATCATCATCATTCTCATCATCATCATCATCATCACCACCATCACTATCACTATCACCATCACTATCACCATCACCATCATCATCACCACCATCATCATCAGCATCATCCTCATCATGACCACCATCATCAGCATCATCATCACCGCCATCATCATCACCATCACCCCCCACTACCACCACCACCATCATCATCGTCATCATGATCACCATCTTCATCATCATCATCGTCGTCAGCAGCAGCATCATCATGATGATCATCATGATCATCATCATAACCGTCACCGTCATAAGCACCACTATTATCACTACCACCACCACCATCATCATCAACATCATCGTCATCGTCGTCATAGTCACCATCATCATCACCACCATCATCATCATCGTAATCATCAGCAGCATCATCATCCTCAGCATAATCTTTATCATCGTCATCTTCATCATCATAAATACAATCCTTGTTATCATCATCGTCAGCATCATCACCACCACCACCATCGTCATTATCGTCATCAGCATCATTAGCATCATCACAACCATCATTATCATCATCAGCAACAGCATCAACATGAGCATCAGCATAAGCTTCAGCATTAGCATCATCATCATCATCATCACCATCATCATCATCATCATCATCATCATCATCATCAGCATCATCATTATCATCAGCGTCGCCACAGTCATCATCAACATCATTATCCTCCTCCTCCTCCTCTTCCTCCTTCTCCTCCACCTCCTCCTCCTCCTCCTCCTCCCTCCTCCCTTCTCCCTCCTCCCTCCTCCCTCCACCCCTTGGAGTGCCCTCCCGCCGCGCGCTTTCCGCGCCTCCTCCCCGCGGTACCCGCCGCAGCAGGCGGGGCCGTGTCCTCCGCGGCCGCGGGCGCGGCGAGGAGCTTCGGCGAGCGGCTTGCGTCCGTGACCGGCGACGTGGGGTTGGGCGCTGTTTCTGCGGAGGAAAGGGTACCCATACCGCTACCCCGCCCAAGAACGTGCGGATTTGCTATCGGGTGCCTATCGGCGGTGTATCCCCGAATGCAGGTCGATGGTTCCCTCACTGTGCCAGTTCCCCTGTATCATTGCCCCTCAGGACGTGATCTTCCCAGCTCTGACCATCCTCAAGGCTCGTGGGGGTCGTAGAGGATCAGAGGTGGAAACGGTACCGATATGCTGCCCTCGCCTCGTTTTCGCCTTTCTGGGCCTCCTAGGGGACTCTTGCCGCCACCGCTGATTTGCCTCGAAGTTCGGGTCAGAAGGCACCCGGGGATTTGGCCGCCAAGCAAAACAGTAGACTCAGAACGGCCCGACTACGTGGCCAAAGGTTGCGCAGACTCACGGCCACTGTGGGCCAGGAAAGTAGGAACATCGTTACAAACTGTCTGCTTCCTGCTGGGGCTCTCGGTGTTCAGGTGGATGGGCTCAGTCATAGAGCCCTCAATCATCTTCACTCCTTGGAGGCTGCTCAGATCACCCCCTGCTCCGCTAAGGAACCTCGCAGCTCGGCTTCCGCCGTTACTGGGTCCAGGGCTGACCGCTGGGCCCTCGGGCCTGTCATCCGATGGGCGCAAGAGGTCTGGCACACCACCTTGCGGAAGCACGCTAGTCCTGTGGCCACTGTGCAGAAAACCCATCCCGCAGGCAATATCAAGTACTCCGCTGTGCGCGCCCTGCAGAGAGCGGGCTGGAAGCTCACCTTAGTCTTCACCCTGCAGGGCCACTTCGGCAGGACCATCAAGCTCACGGGAACATCGCCGGCACTGCTGGCGGGTTTTCTTCAGAGCGCCTCGCAACGGCACAGGGAGATTACAGCGGCCAAAAGCGGACAAGAGGCCCAGCCCATGTCCAGGGTTGGTTTTGATGTTGTCAGGTCCCTGTTGTCTCCCAAGGGTAAAACGTGGACCCCTCAAGACAAAGACATTATTCAAACCCTGCATGTTCTCAAGGGCGGTGGACGGAAGACAAGTTTGCCCAGCCTGGTTCTAATGTTTCCAATGTCTGCTTCCTGTGTCATTAGCTTAGGGGCACCAAGCATGATAGGCTTTATAGGGACCAGCAACCAGAGGCAGTCACCCTCAGGTCTGAGTTTTGGATGCCAGGTGTAGTGCAAGCCGCCCTCCACGCGCCAGAAGTGCCCATTGTAAAATTCAAGCGACACGACGGCCGGCCAGAGAGAGTCCACGAATTCGGGGGGCTCACGGGGACTGACTGGTCATGCACCAGAAGAGGCGCAGCTTCTCGGCGGTCACGTTCTCGTAGGTTCAGGCGGTTTTCCACCCCCGGGAGGCCTTCTGGCAGTTGCCCCTCGCCGAGGGCGTTCTGGGGGTGCCCGGATCAGGGTTCCTCCTGCTCGTCTTTTTCCTCCTCGTCCTCCATGTTCTTCTTCCTCCTCCTCCTCCTCCTCCTCCTCCTCCTCCTCCTCCTCCTCCGCCTCCTCTCAAGCCTCAATTAGGGGCAATGCTAGGGGGCGATAGGCTCAGGGGCAATGTTAGGGGCAACGCTAGGGGGAGACGAAAGGTTTCGAGGTTCGAGGTTTTCGGGCGGGAGGACTTCCAGCAGCTGCGCCTTGCCGGGGGAATTTGGGAGGTGCCCGGATCGTCCCGAACGGCCGCTTGGGAGCCAGGCTATGACTTGAAAGCCAGACGACGAGGATCATTGGGGGGATAAGCTCAGGGAGGGATGCGCTGTCAATCGCCCACTCGTCGCCGAAATGGGGCCCGATAGCCCCCTCCCAGGGGCGGCGAGGTCCCGTGGTGATCCGCATGACGTACCTCCGCTGGGCCTCCCAGGAGCCCGCGAAAGTGGCGACAGTTGCGCGGATCGCAGACCCCCAGGGGCGGCGAGGTCCCAGGACCGTGCGGATTCGCTATCGGTGGCCTGTCGTCGATTTTTCGGCGATGTACCGCCGATTCCAGGCTGATGTTCGCCCCCTGAGCTGGTCCCCGCCCTCCAACGGTCCCCCTCTCGTTCCCGCTCGCCACGATCTGTTTTCTCCAATCCCGACGTTTTCTCCAATCCCGACGTTTTCCTCCGACAATCTGACCCCGGATCTCTGACGATCTGTTGTCTCGAATCCCGACGTTTTCCTTCGATTCCGGCCTCTGGGGCTGGCAGTCGGGCCACGTGGCCATCAGAAATGGATCTGGGATGCAAAACTAGCCCCGGGGAAGCGGTCGGGACATCTGGGGCCGCGGATTGAACAAAAGCATGTCTGGTGGATGATCTTCGCCATCGCGATGATGAGCCCAAGGGAGATGCGTATCGGCGGCGCGCCGAAGGGGGGGCAAGTGAGGGGGTGCAGGCCCTGTCAGAAGGCGCAGGGCTTCTCCGAGGCCTCCGGCGTTCTGGGAAGCTCTCCTGTGGTTTCGGAGGTGGTTTAGGCAGCTTCTCAGAAGGCCAGAGGCCTTCTGAGCCTTCTGGGAAGGCCCGCCCCCTCTGCCTTCCCCCTTCGGCGTGCCGCCGGTAGTATCGTCGCCTCCCCATGAGCTCAAGGGAGATGCGTAGGCCACGGGGAGGGCGGGGAGAGGGAGGGATAGAGGGGATGGGGATGGGGAGGAGGATGAGGGGGGATATTTGGCACAAGAGTGTATTTGACACCCTTAGCTGCAGGTGCAATACAAGAGCAAAATCCAAGGGAGGGTCCTAGGTATTTGGCGTACAAAAACTGATGTGTGCACAGACGACATGATGACCCAAACGCTAGACGTTCCAACTTGAGTTCAAGCATCTGGCACCTCGTTAGGCAGAGAAGTGAACAGTCTTCGGCTTCCCCACGGTAGCGGGGGCCCGTGTCATGCTGTGGCGACAGATGGACACGAGCGAAACCCTTGCCGTTTTCAAAATGGAGTTTTCGCTTAAACGCCGCAGCGCCGCGCACATTCGTCTTAAAAGGTAGAACAACTTCAAGGATGGAGGGCGTACAGTTTTTAAATGGAACCCTCGTCGCGTTAGCGCCGCTCACATTCGTCCTAAACGCTTACAACAGTTTATGGTTTCGTAGGGTTGTACCCCCAGGAATGGTATTCTGGCACGCTTGCCGAGTGTCAGGACGCAGCGGTCACGTCGATTCGCTTGTTGAAGTCCGTGGAATGGTGTTTCGGGACGGGATAGGAATCCGTCATAATTTCGGAAAGCGATGGGTGCCCGAATCCCATCAAATCTAGAATGTGCAATTTTTCCCTTGCCCTGGCAAGGCATCTCGCCTCTTTTGGGGGAGGACATCGTGCCTTTTGAGTTCCTCGGACGGTTGTCCCTCAATGGGCCGCATCCTGGAAGCAACGTAGCTTTTTGTATGGGGCCTCCGAAGAGGGAACTTGGAGGGAGGGTTTATTGCAACACCGTTGATGCGTCTTGGGTTGACACTGGTCCCTCCTCCCTCCCCCTCTTCCTCCATCTCCTTCTCCCCCCCTCATGTGATGCAACTTTTGTTTTCTGGAACCTTGATTCGCCACGCTGGGGCGTTGTGTAAGACCCCTTCTGAAGGGACAGTACCTGGTGGTTGAATTCCCGCGGGTGGAACAATCCCTTCCTCCCTCTTTCCCTCCGCCCAGAACCTACGGGAGCGGGAGAGGGGGAGAAGGTGGTCAGTGGGGTCCAGAGGTGACCAGTGGGCGAAGCTGGCCCTCTGCCTGCTCATCGACGCCCTGGGCGACGCCACTTACCTCCTGCCTGGGCTTGGCGAGGTGAGCAGGGCGGACCAGGAGGAGGAGGAGGACGAGGAGGAGGAGGTTGGAAGACGTTGGGATAACGACTCGGAGCAGGAGTAGGATCTGGGTCAGGGCTTGGGGAAGGACTCGGAGTGGGAAGTTGTAGGAGCTGGAGGATTTCGAAGGAGGAAGAGGAGGCAGGATGAGAAGGAACAGGAGCAGGAGGCGTAGGAACACTTTTCGGAGCTGGGGTAGGTTGAGGAGCGTTCGCGAGTGAAGCAAGCTAGCCATCAAGAACGAGACAGAAGGGCCCGCCCACTCCCTCCCCCATCCCATATCACAAGAAGCAATGTTGGGACAACCAGATCTTGGGACTGGCTCGCGTTGTCACCCAGCGAACGGGGGGCGCTCGCGCGCGAGCCTGCAGGAGGTAGGAGTCAAGCTAACCAGGTCCAGCGAGTCAGAGGGCCTCGCCCGCTCCCACCCCGCCTTCCAGAGCCTGGGGAACGATGCTGGGGCAACCGGGTGTTGAGACTGACTCGCGGTCCCGCGCAGCGAGCACAAAGCGCTCGCGCGCGGCGCACGCACGCGGACTTTACAGAAGGCGAGTGCGCGACGCTTCGGCGAGGGCACCATTCAGCCATCCCCCGCGCGGCCCTATTGCCGATGTAAGCCGCGAGCGCAAAGCAAGCGCTGTGCCGAGGCGGGAGCGCCACGTCCAAGCGACCTCGGCACATGCATCTGCACACATGTAGGTTTAGAGCTGTGTTTCTGCACACGTATACACATCTGGATATATACGCAGACATCGGTACACGTACATCTGTATATACACATGTGTGTATCTCGGTGCGCATCGACTGTACAGATACACGTGCAGACATATACACATGGACACACGTACACATATCCAGTTCATGCACATACATACATATGTATACGTGTGTGTGTGTTTGTGTATGTTTTCGCCATCATGGACCCCAACCAGTGCGTCATTGCACTGCGGAGTTGGGAGCCATACAGATCCATACAGTGTATGGTTTGTGGTGAGGGCGGGAGGTGCAATCAATGGGGTGTAAGCTATTCGATGTAAGCTACATGTGGATCCCCACTTTGCAGAAGTTAAAGTCGTCACCTCCAGTACTCGTGCAACTATCTCACCCTTTTACCCGCAACTTGTCTTGCACAACCCATGCGGCCCCGATTGCACTGACGATAAGGCACTGGTTGACGTGTCTTTGCGGCTGCGCTAGCGCGCGCAATCTCGCGCGAAGAGCGGCCTGGTGGTTTGGCACAGCCGACGCGGCCGCGATGGTGCTTACCAATGGGAATTCCCCAGCGCGTCTCAAAGGCCGCGCTGGCGCGCGGGCACTTCAGTTCGGGTCGGTGACTCGGGCGGACGCGGCATCATAATGACGTCGACCACGGCGGCAACGATGATGACAGTAGCGCTGGTGGGGGAGGTGATAACGATGACGGTGGCAACGCCAATTACGGTGCCGATGCTGGCGACGACGATGGCACATGTTGTGCAATACTTGTGGCGAGATCTTCGCGCGCCGCAGATGCGAATGTTTTTTTCGTGCAACCTACGCGGTGCAATCCAAATGCGGCGACGAGGCGGCGACGAGGCGGCGACGGGGCGGCGACGGTGCGGCGACGGCGACAACGTAGCTGCCAGACTGGGCACACGGCCCAAGCGGCGGGCGGCGACGAGACGGCGACGAGGCGGCGACGGCGACAATATAGCCGCCAGACCGGGCACACGGCCCAGACGACGGGCAGCGTCGATGCGGTGATATTTTGAAATGTTTCGAACACCAGTGGTCTCGGCAAGATTTCGACGCGCGTGCGTGGATGCGCGCGCGCGCGTGTGGCCGCATGGTATTATTTGATACGGATTCGCGCACAGGGCGCATGCTAGATCAATGCGGATGCACTGCGTGGTGGGATGAGGATTACGGGTTTGAGCACGATTGCTAAATTCATTTGCTAAAGTCATACGATATGTAAGACTTCTTCTTGTTTCTGGGGTCCTCCTCATCCCCTCTCCCTCGTCGTCCTCCCCTCCCTCCCTGTCCTCCCGCACGTCCTCCCCTCGCGCCTCCACCTTTCCTCCCAGTCGAGTGTTAGAATAGTATAAACATGTTTGGTCGGTCGAGATTTTTGGCTCAAAGTGATATCGGTTCAGGAGGCCCGCTGGGCAATCTAGCCGCGCACATGACTCTCTCAAGCGATGTGCTGGCGCAGCACGGGATATCCCGCGTCGCGTTCGCTTGTCTAGACTTTAGGAGCCTGCGTGCTGCCAATTGCGTGAGCGCGGGGTTGCGGGAAGGCACACGCAAAGTCCTCAATGCCGCGCAATGGTCTCTTCTTGTCATTGGGGAGGGCGCTTCTGACGTCGGCAATCTGGTCTGGTACTGGAGCGCCAGCGACGATGCATGGAGGGCGCTGCCGCCGCTGCCTTTTGCCTGCTCTGGGGTTGCCTCTTTTCTGCTGGAGGGACAGGTCTACGTGCTCGGGTCCTCTTCGAAGGAGGAAGAGGCCGTTTCGGCCGCCACCGGAGGGACGTTCACTTGCCGGAAACAGCTCTTTGCTATCTGCGACCGGCATCAGCATTCGTGGCGGAGCCTCGAGCCGAGTCCGTTTGAACTTGAAGACAACATACAGTGTGCGGTGTTGGATGGGAGCGTATAACAGCCGCCTGCGGCAAACACCGTCGCCGCGCTAGCGCAGCATCGACGTCCATGCAGGATGGATTTGCCGATCTGGCCAGAACAGGTTCGGGAGAACAATCCTGGGGCAGTGTGGGAGGCAACGCGACTTAGCTGTAGCATGTCGCGGCTGCAACGTTGCATGTTTTTATGCTGCTGCTTCGGGGCTTCTTGGAGGCTTTTTGGAGGCTTCTTGGGGGGGTTGGGGCTTCCTGGGAGCTTATTGGGGCCCTCTCGGGGGCATGTTGAGGGCTTGTGGGGTGCATCGCGGGGGCCGGTTGAGAGTCCTGGGGCCGTACTAGGATGAGAAAGATGAGGAGGGGGAGGAGGGGGAGGAGGAGGAGGAGGAGGAGGAGGAGGAGGAGGAGGAGGAGGAGGAGGAGGAGGAGGAGGAGGAGGAGGAGGGGACGAGGAGGAGGAAGAGGAAGAGGAGGGCTAGGAGGAAGAGGACGAGCACGAGAGGGGGGATGAGGAGGACAAAGACTCTGGCAGCCATTTTGCGGTCTACTGGAGACCCTCTAAGGGTCCTCGTGGGGCTCTCTCGCAGCCCTCTTGGGGCTTATTTGGAGGGTCTTGGGTGGGGTCTTGTCGGGGCTCTTTTGAAGGGTCTTAGTGGCTTTTTTGGAGCCCTCTTGGGAGCCTCTTGGGGGCCTTGGAGGGCCTCTTGGGGCCACCTTGGGGGGCGTCGATCAAAAGAGGGGAGGTCACCGAATTCTCCCCCGCCCCCGCCCTTTGGGGCCATCACGACCGCCTCTTGGGCTTTCTTGGGATACCCTTGGGGCGCTCTTGGGCGGTCTTGGGGCCGTCTTTGGGGGCTATTGTGCCCCTCTTGGGGCTCTCTTGGGCCATCTTGGGGCCATTTGAGGCCTCGACGCCGCATCGGATTCAAAAGGGCTTCACGGCAACAACCATTGATTTTCAACAGGTGTTTGAAGGATTCGGGCGTCGTGGGGAAGTCCTGAGAGGGCTCCGAGATCACGTGGAACTGTCTTGTGGTCCTCTTGGGAACTCTTGGAGGCATTTCCGAAACCATCGTGAACCATCTTCGGCTATCTTGAGCTATCTCGGGGGCTACTTAGGGTATCAGGGGCCCTCCTGGAGCCATCTTGTGCGATCAAGACCAATGACACATCGCGCTCCCCAAGCAACAACTCGGGAAGGGTGTGTGTGTGTGTGTGTGTGTGTGTGTGTGTGTGTGTGTGTGTGTGTGTGTGTGTGTGTGTGTGTGTGTGTGTGTGTGTGTGTGTGTGTGTGTGTGTGGGGGGGGGGGGGGGGCTAGGGTATCCCTCCCTGAAGGGAAGAGGGTTTGGGAAGAGGACAACATAATATGGTTAGACCACCTACGCCCTGATTGGCTGGTGGGTTGGCGCGACTCCGCGTGGGCCTGTAAGCTTAAAGCTTCACTCGGAAAGACGGACCACCGTCAACCCTTTAATCATCGTCGCCGGCATTTCTAGTCATTTTTCCTGCTCCGTTTCCACGAGTTCCCAGATCAGAGAATCTTCATTGTTGCGTCGTGAGTCCTCGCAGAGATCCGAGTCTGTGACTGTTGCGTTGCGTTCCTGGAGGGGTTCGGCGGGATCCTCCAGTGCTCTGCGCTGACAAGGACGCGCGCTCTCGCCATTTTCATTGTCACGTCCGTATCCACTCCAGCTCCAACGACGCAGGCGGCGTTGAGGCCCGTTCGGAAACACAGGCGTGCTCGAGCCGAAAAAGCGCCAGCCCGAGCACGTGGCCACGAAATCCAGCTGTCGAATGCTTTCGAATTTCCAGCGGAGGCCAACACATTGGAAAGCAGAAGCCTTCCGTTGTCTGATTCAGACATGAGGGAGTTCAGCCTTCGATGTTGTTTGTTCGTTGCGTTGTGCAAATGTTGCGCCTTGGCCGCGCGGCGGCGATGCTTGCCATCGAGCAGACCCATCCTTTAACATTGCACGACTCCACATGGGCCTACAAATTCAAATTTGGAACGGGAACGCGGTGGTAGAATGTCCTTGCGCGTCCCATCTCTTGGGGGGTTCTCGAGGCCTCTTGGGGCATCGGGTGGCTCTCTCGGGCGGATCTCGGCGCATGTTGCTGTCTTGGTCTCTGTTCGTCCCTCCTTTCCTCCCTCCTTTCGCTTCCACCCCTCCTCGCTGGCGTTTTGCCCACCCTGTCAGAGCTGCGTGGCGCAGGCTTCCCCGTGACGGTGGGGGCCCAAGGCGCTGCGCGCGCAGGTCGACAGATGCTCTTGGCCCCCGATATTTCTCAGCTTTTCACGCGCCCTCCCTGTCTCTCCCTCTCTCTCTCTCGCTATCATACAATATCCCGCTCTCTCTTTCTCTCCTTCTCTTTTTTTTGGTTAATCATCTCACTCTCTCTCTCTCTCCCTTTATGTCTCGTGTTTTGTTGTTCCTCTCTCTCGCTCTCTCTCTCCCTCCCTTTCTCTCTCGCTCTCTGTTTGATTACCTCTCTCTCTCCCGCTCTTTTTTTGTTGATCTTTCTCTCTCTCTCTCTCTTTGTCTCGTTGTTTTGTTGTTCTTCTCTCTCGCTCTCTCCCTCTCTTTGCCTTCCTCTCTCTCTCTCGCTCTGTCTCTTCTGCGGTGTACATTTCCCTCTCTCTCCCTCTCTCTCTCTCTCGTTTTTTGTTTTGTTTCTCTCTCTTTCTCTCTTTCCCTCTCTCTCGCTCTCTGTTTTTTTGTTGCTGTTTGTTTGTTTTTTTTTTCTCTCTCTCTCTCTCTCTCTCTCTCTCTCTCTCCCTGCCTATATCTATCTCTCTATACATTCATATGTACATATATGCTATATATACATATATATATAAACATAAATATTATATATACACACATGAATCCGTCTGGAGCTTTGCGGGTTTGTGTGGGCCCCCGGCTCCCCGAGCGCCCCGGAGAGCCCAAAACGGCACCAGAGGGCCCCCGATCGCTCCCCAACGGGCCCAGAACACCTCGGAAGAGTCTCCCAAGGGAACCCGGCGTACTCCAAGCTCCCAACGACGCCGAAGATGGTCACCAAGACGGCCCAAGAGGCTTCCAAGAGGGCTTCCCCGAGGGCCCCCAGAGGCAAAATTCATTGACAAGAGCGCTCCAAGAGAGCCCAAGACCGAACAAGAGCGCTTCAAAATTGGTCCAACATGGCTTGAAGACAGCCCAAGAGGGCTTCAAGACGGCCAATATGCTCTCAAAAGGACTCCCACGAGGCTCTCAGGAGGCGAAATAAGTGTTTTTCTGTAGGGTTTGTGAAGGTGTTTCGTGTTCTCGCTGTTTCGTGCTTCCGATGGTCCAAGGCAGCCCACGAGGCCCCAGAAATCAGCTCAACACGGCCCAAGAGGCACCCAAAGAGGGCGCCACGACGGCGCAAGAGAGCCCCAAGACGGCCCAAGAGCGCCCCAAGACGGCCCACGAGGCGCCCAAGATCGCCCAAGAGGGCGCCCAAGAGGGGGAACACGGACCGACAATTCGAACGAAGCCCCAAGAGGCCCCCAACAGAGCCCTAGAGCCCCCCTAGAGGCCCCCGAGGGCCCACGAGGCCCCAAAGGGGCCCAAAAAGACATCCCACGAGCACCCCAAACGGCCCCCAAGAGGCCTCCAAGATTGCCTTCAAGAGGCCCCTGGGAAGCCTCCCACGAATCCCAAACGAACTTCCAAGAGGCCTCGAACCCACAACCCAGGCACGGTGGCGGGATGGGCCGAAGGCCACTATCGGGAACGTGAACCGAGAACCCGAGATCTTCGCCCCAGGTGACCCCCAGAAGGAGTCAAGAGGTCCCCAAGAAGTTTGGCGACAGATCACCGGTCGACCGGTCGAGGAGAGCGGAGGAGGAGGAATGAGGAAGAGGCAGGAGGAGGCAGAGAATGTTGACCACCTTGTTGTCTCAATGCGGTCAGCACTCGACCAGCTAGAACCATCGCGCGCGATGTTTGCGCTCGGTGTACGATTAATCATCACTGGTCGTTTTGGCCAGTCTCTGTCACAATACCAGCCAGGGATATGATTGTTTCTTCGACGACGCGGAGGCTCGGCTGTCCAAGGGGCGGCTTCTTCACAGCTCTAGATGCGCCCGCCGAGTCCGAGGCGCGAGCGGGGTCTGGTGCGTCATGGCATCGTGCTGCGCATCGACGAAAAAACTGCAAGTGTCTTGGAGCGGCCCTGGGTCGTCTTAAAACCGCCTGTCTCAGGTTGGCCACTTCGTAGCTTCAGATGTGCCCGGCGAGTCCGACGCGCGAGCGGGTTCTGGCGCGTCATGGCACCGCGATTCGATTCGACGGAGAAGCTGCAGCCGTCCTGTCAGTTCGGGCGAAAGGGGAGGGAGAGGGGGGGGGCGAAACGAAATCTGCTGCGTGCAGCTTGTTTCGGCCTGGCCGCAGAGCGCCTTTCCTCGATACATTGGCGCCTGCTGGTGCCGGGAGGCGCCGGGAAAACCAGCCACGCGAGCCGATTCGTCAACCCCCCCGTCCTTGACTAACCCCCATTTTTTCCCACCCCGATCTTGGGGCGGCCCCGGGTCGTCTTGGAGCCGCCCTGGGGTGGAACAGAGCGCCAGAGAGCAAAGCTAGTGTCAGGGGCGGCCTAACCGACCACTAGTAAAGCAGCCCCTTGCGTGACGTCCCCCTGGCCTCACCCCAAGACGTACGTATGCGGCCGGAGGGAGGCCTGGAGGGCGCGGGGGACGTCACGGAAGGTGCTCGTCATGGAAGGGGTCGGTTCGGCCGCGCCGGAAGGGGACGGTTGCTGGGGAAGTTCCACGAGTCGGGGTGCCATTCATCTATTGAAAAGCGCCAGGGGCCCTGCCAGGCAGTTCAACGGCCATTCTGACGCGCCTCATCGCGTGGAGGGCACGGTGGCGGATACGTCATGGGGAATCAGCCCCTCTACGACGCAGGGGACACGCCAGAGAATACACGATATCGCGGGCACCGAAGCGGCATAGCGCGGTATACGAGCAATGGCTCCTGGGAGCTATTGCCCAGCTGCTCGAGCGCTGGCCACGGTGTTACGATGATAGCATCGGGTCGCTGTTTGTATCTGATCGGCGGCTCCGAAGGCTACCGAATAGGCGATGGGAAACACATGCTGCGCTCGACGTTCGATCGCTTCGATCCTGGCACAGGTCAGTGGACATCTTTAACGCTCGCCGACGACGAACTGCAAGATGCTGTTCGGAATGGCCCGCACAAATATATCGCTCCAGCCGCGAATCACATCTTTGTGTCTTATATGGCAGAACATATTGCCCGCGATCTCACGAAGGATCGCGCTCGAGAGCGGTCGTTCCGCAGATACTGGTCCTACACATCGTGGTGGTATGATTGCGAAAGGTGCGCGTGGAAAAGAGGAGCTCCGATGCCCACACCTCGCGAACATATTGTTCTGCCTCTGGGAAGTGGAATCTTCGCACTCGGAGATGGCCTCGTTGAGGCTTGCCAACCTGGCCCCCAGCGGAGAGCACGCTGGAGCATCTACGAAGATTACGAGGATAGTGATAAGGTCACCGCGCACGTCGCCACGCTCGACGGCCAGAAAATCTTTCTGCTTGGCGTGGCAGAGGGCGGGAAGCAGTTCTGCAGAGTGCAATGTTTCACACCTGACGCCGACGGAGGAGTCTGGGGGGACCTGGCAATGATGCCATCCATGGATGTTGCTGCCGCAGTCGCCGTGCCAGCCTGGAGGGGACTGGACGAGGATGCTTTTTAGACGGCTGTCGGGTTTTGCTTCGTCCACGTCGTCAGGGAGTGGTTGAGCGAGTGCTGGGCTGCATCCTGGGTTGAAAAAAGAACGGGGCACAAACTACGAACGTTGATGTGGAGTGTTTGGGGTTGTTCTCGTTGCCATCTCGGGGCCAGCCTTGGACGCTCCAGGGAAGGCAGGAGGAGTTGATGAGGACGAGGAGGGTGACGACGAGCACGAGGAGCAGGGGGAAGTAGGAGGGTGATTATTTTCAGAAAGCGCCGCAGCCAAGGTCGGCTTATGCATCCTCTGTTGTGTTGCCGCCAGATCGCAAACGAAAGTTTGCAGGACGGGGTCGCGTCAGAGAGGCTGGCCGATCCGCAAGCACAGCCTTCAGCGAGGAGGAGGAGGAGGAGGAGGAGGAGGAGGAGGAGGAGGGGTTCAAAAGGAGGATCGGGAGGAGGAGGAGGAGGAGGAGGAGGAGGAGGAGGAGGAGGAGGAGGAGGAGGAGGAAGGGGAGGAGGATCGGAAGGAGGAGGAGAAGGAGGATCAGATGAGGATCTGAAGGAGGAGCAGGAGGAGGATCGGGAGAAGGAGGAGCAGGAGGAGGAGGAGGAGGAGGAGGAGGAAGAGGAAGATGACGAGGATGAGCTGGCCATGAGTCTGGATGCCGTCGTCGTGTCAGAGCTGGGCTGCTCGTGACAAGACCTCATCCTCGGGGGGGCTCTGCCTCCGCGAGCAGACCGCCCAGGACGCCCGAGGACAGCGAACTCGCATTGGCGGCCAGTTCGCGTGTTCCCGCCGGCCCACTCGAGCGACCGGTGCCGTGACCATATAGGGCGCTCCAGAAAGGGTCTTGCCTGCGAGGAATCGAAGGAGTGGGCATCTCTTCCTCGGCGGACGGGCGGCGGAAGGCGGCGGAAGCAAGAAGAGGGCCGCTCCGCTGGCGGAAGCTGGCGGAAGGCCGGGGGAAGTGACAGGTGAGCTGCAAGGGTTGGCAACATGTTTTGGTTCAGCGTTTCGGGAACCCGCCATGTACTCAAGAAGAGTATGAGGTGCGTGACGGGACCCGCATCGGGAAGATGCGGAGGGCCGCCTCCTCCTCGTCCGTCTCCTACTTGTCCGCTCGTTCCTCCTCCGCGAGCCTGCCATGCCTGTGGACAGTGGCGTGGCGACGGACGTGGGCGTCGGCATTGTCGAGACCAGTGCATGGATGTTAACTGCTGGTGGATCGACTGCGGGAAAATATCCCTCAGCCTTGGCGCGAGGGCTCCCACAAACAGGCCGAATTGTTTTTTGTGGAGCGGATCATGAGGAGGGAGAAGCCAGGTTGTAGACACGTGGGCGGCCCGAGAGGGGGCAGAGGAGGAAGGAGGAGGAGGAGGACGAGGAGGAGCAGCAGGAGATACCGGAGGAGAGGAACGCGCAAGACGACGAGGATGAGCAGGAGAACGAGGCGGATGTTGAGGGGAATGAGATGAGCAGGAGGAAGGATATGAGGACTTCTTAAGCTGTCTTTAGAGCCTAATGCGAGCCTCTTAGAACATTGTGGAGGCCTCTTGAGCCATCTTGGAGACACCCTGTGGACAGGAGTGCTGCGGTGCCAGAAAGAGTCGCCCCCTGTTGTAGCTACCTCGGACGTCAAGAATGAGCAAACGCACGCATCGTGGCTTCGAAGCAAGGATTACGCACGTCGACGGCTTCAGTCGTTGAGGCGGAACAGGAAGCCCACGACGCTGTGCCATGTGGAGCGGACTGGACTGACTACGGTCAGGAACGTCCTGCGCAGCGTGCCGCGCCACAGGCTCTGGTCCACCACGCCTCGCGACGCGCCAGCCACGCGCGCGCACGCGCTTCCTTGATACCGCCGTTTTGAAACGCAACGCGCATCATGCTCAAAACACGTCCGTGATCACACGCTGCGTGTTGGCTCGGCACGTGCTGGCCCACGCTTCGGCGAGCGTATCGCGCCAGACCTACGGTCTCAGCCTGCGTGTGGAGCTCCGTGCCAACACGCCACGTGGAGCGTCCAGTCCCTTCCGGCACCAGCTCTCCAGGCTCTTCCCGGCCTCCCGCCCCGCGAGGCAGAGCGGCACGACGTCTGCCCGCGGGGCACAGCGTGCCGCAGGGGCCGCCGCCGCGACACGCTGAGCAGAAGTTCCGGGCCGCTGGCTCCCGGAGCCGTCAGCACCGCATTCGCGTAGGCTAAATCGCTGCGGCTGTCCGAGCTGGCGCTTCGAGCTGCCGCTCGTGCCCGCGCCCTGCGATGGGAGCCTCGCGGCTGGCGGCATCAAGGCGCTGAGGAAGAGCGCTGGCGATGACGGGACCGCGACTCTAGGCCTCCCCGGTCCGAATAGAGGGGGTCGGAGGATCGCACCGCATCGTCGATGCATCGGCGATGCGGCTCGACGTGGTGCCCGATTTTCTCCACCGCGACGTCGCCTGTGCATCGCTGACGTCGTCGACGCATCGGCGATGCACCTGGGATGCGGAGCGCTCCTCCGACCCCGTCTGCTCGGACCTCCTCTGGGAGGCCTCCCAGACTCTGAGCGGCAGCAGAGCTCGGGGCAGCGCGCAGGGCCACCGGCCGCGCGGCGGGCCGGCGGGGTGCGAGCGGGGCCGGCGAGCGGAGCGCCCACGCCGTGCCGAGCGGCCGCGTCCGCCCGCTGGCCGCGCAGCCAGGCGCGCCAGGGCCAAGGCTTCGAGGTCGGCCGTGGTCGGAGGCCCAGGTGTCAGCACCAAGACCAGCATCGGCGGTGTGGTTCCATCGAGGGCAGGCGGTCCCGATCTCGGTGGCGGCGGCAATCCTCGCGCTCCCTGGGTGGCCGAGGGAGCACCAGGATCATGTCCCCCCCAGTGGAGGCAGCCCCCTGTGTTGGGGCTGGTGCTCGCTGCCACGCCTCCAGTTCCGAGGCTTTCGAGGTCTGCTTCGGCAGGCGAGCCTCGCCGTGGCCACACCTCGCCCGTCGCGGGCGCCGCCTGCCGCACGGTCGAGGGCGTGGGCCGGAAGCCACGGCCCCGGGCCATCCGAGCTCGCTCGAGCACGCGCCAGGACCCTGATCGCGCCCTGCCGTGCGCATGCGCCCTCCTGAGTGCCGATGCCTGGGGCGTGGCAGCCTGGCCAGGGACCCCCTCGGGGGGAGGGTCTTCGCTGCACCTGCAAGGAGCGGGCGAGAACGGCCCGGCGCAAGGATGGCCTACCGGCTCGCTTTATTTCGGTTACGCGGGTGGCACCACTCCTCAGGTCATTGCTATTGTGGTCGTGGCGCGGGAGAGGAAGAAAAGGGCCCACCGCGGAGGAGAGGCACTGGCCAGCCAGGGCCCGAGCCTAAGGTGTTGGGAGCAAAGCCGAAATCCCTGCGAGCTGGCGACGCCCCTCCCGTACCACCTCGGTTTTGAGCGCGAGACGCCAGATGAAGAGCTTGACGGTTTGAGCGCTGCAGAGGGCGTCATGCAATGCCCTTCTCGTTTGGGGGTCATGGTCGCCTTTGCTGTCATGCCAGTGATCAGGCAGTGTCTGATTATCCTCCTGCCTCTCTGGTGAGCAGTCGGTTTTTTCCTGTGTAAAGGATCGCCGCCCGCACTCGAGCCCATAGTGAGCCTATAGTGACCCTCTGGGAGGCTGGAGGTCTGATGATGGGGTTGATGATGATGATGATGATGATGATGATGATGATGATGATGATGATGATGATGATGATGATGATGATGATGATGATAATTCGGCAGATGGTGACGATGATGGTGATGATGATGACGATGGTGGTGGTGATGATGATGATGGTGACGGTGTTGATGATGATGTTGCTGATGATGATGTTGTTGATTTTCAGTTTGATGGTGCAGATAATGGTGATGGTGACGATGAAGATGATAATGATGATGATGATGATGATGATGACGACGTCGATGATGTCGATGATGGTGTTGGTGATGATGATGCGGCTGATGATGCTGCGGCGGATGATGATGAGGATGCTGAATATGATTATGATTATGACGATGCTGCTGCTGATGATGATGATGATAATGCGGCGTCTGTTGATGATGTTGATGATGATGATTTTGATTTCCTGGTGGTGATGATGGTAATGGTGACGGTGCTCAGGATTATGATGATGTTGATGTTGCGGCTGACGATGACGATACGATGACGATGACGATGACGACCACGACGACGATGATGGTGATGGTGATGCAAATGCTGAGGCTGACGATGAAGAAGATGATGATGATGACGACGATGATGATGATGATGCTGATAATGATGATGATGATGATGATGATGATGATGATGATGATGATGATGATGATGATGATGATGATGATGATGATGATGATGATGATGATGATGATGTTGATAATGATGATGATGATGATGATGATGCTGATGACGATGATGATGATGGTGATGGTGGTGATGATGATATGATGATGATGATGATGATGATGATGATGATGATGATGATGATGATGATGATGATGACGATGACTGGGATAGTTCGGATGCTGATGACGACGATGATGATGGTGGTGATCATGATGATGATGATTATGATGATGGGGGTGATGATGCTGGTGCTGCTGATGATGGTGAGGGTAGTGATGATGATGGTGAGGAGGAGGAGGAGGAGGAGGAGGAGGAGGAGGAGGAGGAGGAGGAGGAGGGGGGGGAGGAGGAGGAGGAGGAGGAGGAGGAGGAGGAGGAGGAGGAGGAGGAGGAGAGTAATGGTGATGATTCATACTCGAGGGCCAGGGCGAGGATGAGTGCCTTGACGATGAGAAGGGATGGATGGGAGGAGGGTTGGAGGAGGGTGGATGACAGAGACAATGATGAAAGTTGGGGGATGGTGAGGATGAGAGAGTGCATGATGGTGACCATGTGCAGATCGGACGAGGAGGGTGACCGAAGCAATGAGCAGAAGTGCTGGCGGTAGAGCTGCTGCTGGCAAGGCGGGAGACGCTTTGTACGCCCCATTCGAGTTCCTGGTATTGCGTAGCTTATTTGGTGGGTCGAACACTCTGGCTTTATTTGGCTTCGTCGAGGAGGCACTCCCGTTCAGTGATGCCATCCCTACAGGAGACGGCTTTCAACCTGCTTTCTGTGATACGTGTATATATATATATAGAACTCCTAGTCATTGATTCCACTTAGGGGCTCGTACTTGCGCTACCAAGGGAGTGGACGAGTCTGTCGAGGTTTCGCCACGTTGCCGCCCGTGGCCGCCTCGTTGCCGCCTCGTCGCCGCCCACTTGGATGGGTCCGTCGAGGTTTCGCCGCGTCGCCGCCTGTTGCCGCCTCGTTGCTGCCCACTTGGGGAGTTCGTCGACATTTGCCACGTCGCCGCCCGTTGCCGACTCGTCGCCGCCTCGTTGCACTTGGGGAGTCAGTCGAGGTTTCGCCGCGTCGCCGCCCGTTGCCGCCTCGTTGCACTTAGGGAGTCCGTCGAGGTTTCGCCGCGTTGCCGCCCGTTGCAGCCTCTTTGCCACCCACCGCTCTTGAGAGGTCCATCGGGGTTGCACCACATAGCTCATACCACACAGCTTGCACCACATAGCTTGCACCCCGTATTCTGCAGCACGCGGCCTACACATCTACAGTGCTATACCTGACTGTTTGGGATTGACGCTGGCTAGTGTTTATGTTTATGCAGTTTCCCGCTCGTCTGGAAAGAGAAGCGGGGCCGAACGCCAGGCGAGGGACACACCATATGACCCCCATCCCATGCAGCCGAGGGGAGCATGTCCAGGAGACGGCGGGGCTCCGGCGGGACCCCTCGCCTCGGGGCCCTTCCGTGGGGAGTCTCCTGCGCGCCCCTGCCCAGTGCCGCATCGCCTCGCCTCCCCACCCCTCCTGGCCCCCCGTCCACTGCCACCCTCCCGCCCTGTCGCCTCCCCCCTCCTTTCGCCCTCTGCCCAAATCCCTCAAAAACGTAGCGGAAATCAATGATGTTGGCCTTCTTGCCTTGTTGCTTTCGATGGCCTTCCGCGGGCTCAAGATGGTCCAAGATGGTCCAAGAGGGCCCCAAGAAAAAACCAAGAGAGCCCCAAAACGGCCCCGAGAGCGCCCAAGAGCACCCCAAGAGCGCTCCAAGAGGAGCCCAAGAAGCAATGTTAGGCACTCGCGAGGGGCGACGCTAATCCCACCAGCCCTCTGGGCGACAGGTGGTCTAAGGAGGGTCTCTTTCCTCTTCCACGACCCCTCTTCCCTTCGGGGAGGGGAACCCTCCCCCTCCCTTCCCTGGTTTTTTGTTGGGGGGGAGGGGTCGCGAGGTCTCGGAGGCTCTTTTTTCGGCAATCGGGGGGGCCACTCTCTCCCACACCTCACGAGGATCGTGGCCCCCGAGAGGGGGGAGCTACATCGAGGGCTCCCCTCTTTTGACCGACCGCCTCCAAGATGGCCCCCAGAGGCCCCCCAGGGGTTCCCAAGAGGCCCCCAAGAGGGCTCCAAGAGAGCTCCAAGAGGCCCCAAGAGGCATCCAAAAGGCCCCCCCGAGCGGCCTCAAGATGACCTCCAAGATGGCTCAAGATAGCCCAAGCTGGCTCAGGATGGCTCCCAAGATGCTCCACGAAGCCCCAAGACCGCTCCAAGACGGCTCGAGATGGCCAGCCTATTCAGACGTGCCAGGGCTTCTGAATGGGCTGACTATGCGTGTCTCTTCCTCTCTCCCCCCATCGGCTCTCATGGGCATCGTTTCTGGATGGGCTGGTGGAGATTGTGTTTTTTCCATCGCGAGCGCGCCGGAGGACGCCGGGCGCCGTCAAAGGTCGCAGCAGGCAGGCTACGAGCGAATTGCGCACCAGGGAGAGAGGGAGGCGACGAGAGGACAGCGGGAGGAGGAACTAACAGGAGGCGGGCCTCGCTGCCGCTCAGAAGAGGGCGCCGTCGTCTGGGGGGGAGCCTCCAGGCGGACTGCATCGCGAAAGTGGCAGGAAATTCGGGTTGAACGACACCGCGAGCGCACTGAAGACAGGGGCCACCAACAGATCGCACCACGAGGACCAGGCGTCAGGACCAACGGTCACTCCGTCGCCAGGTGGCGGTCGAGTCACACGCGCCGGCATGCGTCGACCAACTCCGTGCAGGCGCTCAATAGACCATAGCCCGGATCGCCAGACACCTTCAGTGACTGGTGTCGAGACCGCGTGCCTCAACGCGAGGGGTGCGGGCGGGCGCTCGCGCACCGGGATAGGCAATATTTCAATAATGTACGCGCATGCCGTCCCGGAGCTTTTTACAGATCTCTGCGCACTTGCCCGCACCTTGCACAATAAAGTCATGGATCTGCGCAGGCGGCTGCAAATGTCGAGCGGTCGCCACAAGTAGTTCATGGTAGTTGCCTTCGACACCACTCAGGCCTGCATCCGCCACAGCCTACCCATCCACCCTTACCATATATTTTAACTGTGCGGCAGCTGTGCCTTCAAGCCACCTAGACTGTTGCCATCCACATTAAAAAGAGCATGAATGAATTGTAAGTGTGGCGAGTGCTGCTGCCAACCCTCAGACACGGAGCTCGCTGAGAGTTTTCAATGTAAGTGTAACGCCACCAGCGTTTGCACCGCGAGAAGCAACCAAGGGATCCAGAAGGCAAGCCGAAAGCGCTCAAAAATATGCTCAAGCAAAACTGCGACATCCTCTACATCACGACCGCTTTTCTCGTTCAAGAGTATGTTCCAGGTGTTCACCCCACGACTCCACGAAAGAGTGATTGTAAGCAGTTTGGCACGCGTAGCAGTGCATGAACGTTGCTGTCAGATTTGAACGCTCGTAATCGCAATGCTCACGTTCGTCGTCGGTGCAAGGTACAAATGACTTGTTGTAGCTAAGTGTGGATTCGCCTTTTAGGGCTTGTCTAAAATCACATAAGGCAAGACTCTATATCTCGTCCACCAGCGCATGTCCAGCCGGTAGCCCTGTAGTACCGTAATCCACGCGCATCCATGGGCCTCCTGGATACCTATCTTGAAACGACTGGCTGTTGACATCCGGTGGACCAGAAACAGCGAACAAACTGGCGAGCGGCACGGAAGGCAAGACATCTTTGCTAATGAACACAAGCCTTTTTGATACTAAAGTAAAAATGATAAACGAATCACCTGTTTCGCTCTTCCCTGTAATAATTCCCGTTTTCACATAATTGTGCGTGTGGGGCGTGTGACGCTGCATACGGGGCGTATGACGCTGTTCATATTTGGAGCAGTGACGCTGCCAATACGATTGGTCACCCAGCATGCAAGTGCCACCTGAGACACGGAAGTGAAACAGCAACCTGGACTTGTGGAGCGCCTGACGCCTGCCGTGAAATGTATGATTCATGTTTCCGAGACCAGTCACATTCAACAGTTCATCCACAGCTGTCAAATTCAACCTGGTGAAAGCTAAATGAAAAGGCTGCCGCAACATGAGATCAACTGTAGATGGCGACATAAATTCGTTCCCCTTGTAGATCGAGCAACATACTGGCCAAACGGAACACCTTGCAATTAAGGACATCCTGTTTGCGGCACTGCGGACGCCACGCGATACCTGCACACTGCTCGAAGCAAAAAGCCGTGAGCCAGGGGCTACGGAGCTGGTGGAGATACTTTTCCGTCGCAGCCGCAGGCGAGCGCGCCAGCAGCGTCAAGGGTCGGGCGGGCTACGCGCGAACCTAATTGCCTAACGCGACTGGTGGAGATAGTTTTTTGGTCGCGGGCGCAAGCGAGAGCGCAGGCGCCGTCCAAATAAGTCCGGGTTGCGGTACCTACTAATTTACAGCGAAAGCAAGCGGCGGGCGCGGGCTACCGGCCGAGGGCCGAACTAACAACCTACCACGGCTGCTCAGGCTGCGGCTGCACTGGACCAAGCACAGATCCACACTGCCGAATGCAAGTATGCTGAATTGATGTGCTCACCGAGATGGTGAACGGGTTAGCAGCATCCTGTCCACTTTCAAGTTGCGGAGTAATAACCCAAGCCAGTGCTCTGTCGCCAGTTGGGCGCCAAGAGCGGATAATCCCATAAACCCATACAAGTCGTCCACATGCCAGGGAACGGAAGAACAGCCAACGCTCGTCACCCAGAAACCTCATCAAAGAACTGGAAGCAGAACACGATAAGGCTGCGGGGCTGGCCAACACGATGATGCCGTAGGGTGTACATCAAAATGCTTGCCATTTGGCCAAGCTCGTTCACCTGACAAGAGTAGAGCGAAAGTGGCGGCGCTCTAGGGAATCAAAGCAGAAGAATCACCAGCTGCAATGCGCAATCGGATGCAACTGAGCGGTAACGCTGCCAGGGATGAGATGATGCGCGCTGCTCTAAGCCCCGGGATCTACCTTCGAAGACGAAGATGCCAGCGGGGCTGTCAGTGCATTTGACCGGGTAACGGGTCACAAGCCGTCCGATCGCGGGCGCCAGCCTCGTCCGAAAGGAACGGCGACCACACCCTTGACAGAATAGCGCACTTCCAGGTCTGCCTGGCGCAGGCAAGGTAACGGGCCTCCAGCCGTCCGATCGCGGGCAGCAGCCTCGTCCGAAAGGAACGGCGGCCACACCTGCTGGCCTAGGCGACTCCACGTCAATGTCTGACGGGGGCATGGAGCCTGCGCCTGGGTGGTGGACTGGGATGCTGTCACAAACGCATCCCGCCTGGTTGCGCTTAGCCGCATCCGTGTGATAGCCAGGGCTGCTCGACGCTGCTCCCCCGGGAGCCTGCTCGCACTCGACACGCTTCGGTGTGGGCTGGACTGTGCTGACTTCTGCCAGGGGTGGGGAACTGTGAGCGAATAGCCAGGGCCGTGGTCACCACAGCAGACGCGAAATCAATCACGGCTGATGGCCGTCATCGAGAGATAGCACAGAGGGAGAGGGAGGAGGGGGAGGAGCCAGGAAACGGCTGATGGCCGTCAGCGATCAAGTCAATGCTGCTGTCAGCGGCACCAGAGACTGGAGTGCGTGGCTGTGGCGACGAGAAGCGCGGCACTCCAACCGGGGAGTGGTAGCGCTGTCGGGTCCTATGCCAGGGCTGCTGTTGGCAGGTCCACTTCCCGAACGGCACCTACAGTCAGCTGGACTATCTGGAAGGTGAGGTCGTAGCCGGGAGGGGATACAGAGGGTAGAGCCAGGGCGGTCGGACCGCATGCAATCGCCAGGCACTTACGGCTGATGGCCGTCTCATCCTTTCCGAGTAAAGAGAGAGAGAGAGAGAGAGAGAGAGACAGAGAGAGAGAGAGAAAGAAAGAGAGAGAGAGAGAGAGAAAAAAAAAGAGAGTGCCAGGACACGGCTGATGGCCGTCGAAGCAATGGACGCCGAAACCGTGAGGGTCCCTAGGCCAGGTGGCCGAAGCCAGATGTCAACCACAAACTATATGTATTGCTGGGCATGTGGAGCAGGGGTGGGGCAGGAAGCCAGGGCCACCGGGGCTGCTGCGGGCCCGGCTGCCTGAGGAGGGGCGGAAGGAGCGAGGGGCCCCAAGAGGCGGCGAAGCGTCAAGAATTCACGATAACCTTATCCTTCCATTGAAAGATCCTTCGCCCAAGCTGTCATCTTGGAGGGAGCTTCAAATTTGAACCGCTGCAGAGTCCACACAGCAATTTGAATGTTTCCAGGCCAGCCGCCTCCACAACGAAGAAGCTCCGGGCACACACGTGCACAGACGCGAGCCCAAGGAAACGAGGTAATGGGAGCCAGGATGGAGGAGGCGCCCTCCTTCTTCCCCGCCTGATCACCTTCCTTTTTCTCCTCTTCTTGTTCCCCCTCCTCCTCCTCTTCTTCTTCCTCCTCCTCCTCCTACTCCTTCTCCTCCTCTCTTCCTCCTCCTCCTCCTCCTCGTCTAATCCTCGTCATCCTCATCATCATCATCATCATCATCATCATCATCATCATCATCATCATCATCATCATCATCGTCATCATCATCATCATCTCATCACATTCACCATCACCAACATCATCGTAATCATCACCATCATCATCATAAGCATCATCATCAGCAGCATCAGCATCATCATCAGCATCATCATCATTACCATCATCATCATCATCATCATCAGCATCATCATCAGCATCATCAGCATCAGCATCGGCATCATCATCACCATCACCATCATCATCATCGTCATCATCATCATCGTCAGCAGCAGCAGCATCATCATCAGCATCAGCATCATCAGCAGTGGCATCATCATCAGGATCATCATCACCATCATCATCCTTAGTATCATCACCATCAACAACACCACCATCATCTTCATCATCCCCCTCATCATCAGCAGCATCATCATCATCTTCAGCTCCAGCATTACCATCTTCTTCCTCATCATCGTCATCATCATCTTCCGAATCCCTATCCTCATCCTCAGATTCACCATCCTCACCCTCGTCCTCATCGTCATCATGATCATCAGCATCATCAGCAGCAAAATCATCACCACCACCACCACCACCACCATCATCATCATCATCATCATCATCATCATCATCATCATCATCATCATCATCGCCATCATCATACTCGTCATCATCGTCCTCGGCATCATCAGTATCCGCGTCATCCTCATCGGCAGCGTAAGCATCACCATCCTCATCTTCGTCCGCATCCTCACCCTCATCATCATCATCATCATCGTCATCATCCTCACCTTCATCATCCTCACCCTCGTCATCGGCATCCTCATCGTCATCCTGATCCTTATCATCGTCTTCCTCATGGCCATCATCGGCAGCATCGGCAGCCTCATCCTCATCCTCGTCCTCATCCTCACCCTCACCGTCATCATCATCGGCAACAGACGCATCCTCGTCCTCATCCTCCTCCTCATCCTTCGTCCTCATCCTCCTCCTCGTCCTCGCCTTCATCCTCAAAATCCGTATCCGCATCCTCGTCATCACCAGCATCATCAACATCAGCATCCTCATCACAACCACCATCATCACCATCAAAGTCAACATCATCAGCAGCGGCATTATCAGCGTCACCATCATCATCATCAGCATCCTCACCATGATCATCACCATCACCATCATCACCATCATCCTCATCATCATCAGCATCGTCACCACCACCATCACCATCACCACCACCATCATAATCATCAGCATCATCATCAGCAGCATCATCATCACCATCATCGCCATCATCATTATCATAATCCTCATCATCAGCAGCATCATCAGCATCAGCATCAGCATCATCATCAGCCGCATCATCATCACCAACAACATCATCACCATCATCATCACCATCACCATCACCATCATCATCAACATTATCATCACCATCACCACCAACGTCATCATCGTCATTATAATCATCACAATCACCATCACCATCACCATCATCACCATCACCATCACCACCACCAGCATCATCATCAACATCATCATATTCATCGTCATCGTCATCATCGTCATCATCTTCATCCTCATCTTCATTCGCATCGTCATCCTCATCTTCATCATCAGCATCAGCATCATCACCATCAACATCATCATCGTCATCACCATCGTCATCATCATCACCAACATCATCATCACCATCAGCATCCCCATCATCATCATCATCATCATCATCATCATCATCATCATCACCATCATCACCATCACCATCATCGCCATCACCATCATCGCCATCACCATCACCATCATCATCACCATCACCATCACCATCATCGTCATCATCATCATCATCATCATCATCATCATCATCACCATCACCATCATCCGCCCTCCCTTTCCCCTCCGAAAGTGCGGATCCACGGAGGGGAGAGTGGGAGCCATCTTGACCTAGCTTGGGCTATCTTGAGCCATCTTGAAGGTCATCTTGGGCTCTCTGAGGCCCTTCGGGTGCCCTTTGGGGGGCCTTGGGGGCCTCTTGGAGCGCTCTTGGGGCGCTTTGGGGGACCTCTTGGGAGCCTCTTGGGAGCCCTGCAGGGCCTCTGGCCATCTTGGAGGCGGTCGGTCAAAGAGGGGGGTCCTCGATTTCTTTCCCCCTCTCAGGGGCGACGATCGTGAGGTGTGGACAAAAATTGGCCATCCCAATTGCCGAAAAAAGAGCCTCCGACACCTCACGACTCCTCCTTAACAAATTTAGGGAGGGGAGGGGGAGGGTTCCCTTCGCCGAAGGGAAGAGGGGTTGTGGACGAGGAAAGAGACCCTCCGTAGACCACCTGTCGCGCAGAGGGCCGGTGGGATTACCCTCAATGACTCGCCCTCACCAGTACGACCCGCCATCCTGAAATTTTATATTTGAGCAGTGCCGACTTTCCGAAAAAGTCGACAACCAGGAAGGACTTCATTGCGATTCCGACTGCAACAATGGCAGATACCCGAAAGAGGATATACAAGTATGGGCTTCAGCGACAGCGGCATGGTTTCTACAAGCACTATTCCCCGAGAATCCAGTCGCCAAGTTCTTCGGGATTGGCCTGACTCTCCGCTTTCACCTTGTGCGGTTGCGCAGAGATACGTGTGTGTGTGTGCGTGCACGCAAGTCAGCACACAGCCGCAGAACATGCACAGTTATACCATTGGGCATGCACGTTGGCGATATTGATTAATCTCTGTAGTTACTTGTCGTCTGTGCCTTCACACAGTTCTAGTTTTCCCTATCCTCTCGACCGCGCGGTTCATGGTCCTTCTACCGCCAGCTCTTTCGCATGCGTCCGTACGCAGATATATGCTTTCTTTGTCGTCTGGGGTATCATCACCGGCAGCGCCACATGCCTGGTTCTTTCAGACAGATAGTTCCTGAAGAGTTCGCGTTTAGGGGGGCGGTCATCAACTCAGCCCTCATCATCTTATTTTACCCTTCTGTCCACACCCCTGTCGGTGAGAAAGACCCACCTGCGACGACTCCTCCGCAGACCGGTGACAACGGCAAGAGGCCCAAGAAGTGACAGAGCAACCTCGCTGGCTTCTCACGACCTCGGTCCCATCCCTTTGTGTCAGTCCTTCTCTTCGCTCACTTGCACTCCTTGTCTCTACGCCTTCTTTGCACCAGTCTCACAGTGTGCTCCCGCTTCTTTGCTATCCGCGGGCTCTTACTTCTGGCCTCCTGCGGCCACACTGGTCGACGCCACTCACCCTCGATCCTGAGCCTTCGCCCTCGGCGTCCTTGCCGTGCTCCACTTCAGGACGTGTCGGGTTCTCGCTTGGTGCCCGCGCTGTGCCCGCCTGGCGCCCGCTCCTTGCGCCTGGCTGGCTTTCCGGGTGCTCGTCGGGTACCCGCCCGTGCCCGACTCGTCCGGGAGAGGCCACGTCCATACGGAGCAAGTCCGTGCGGGTTGTTCGGCCTCCGTCTGGGGATACTCCGTCTGGACTTAGCCTCGCATGATGGGATTCTACGCCCGTGCGCAGTAAGTTCATGCGGAGCGCATGGTCTCCGTATGGACTTACCCCGTCTGGATTTGGTCCCCCTTGAGTCGTGCCTTCCCCTGTGCGCCGGCTGGCATTTCTGGGTTTTCTCTTGGTGCCCGCTCGTGCCCGCCCCGTGCGCTGGCTCGCATCTCAGCGTTCACACGCAGCTTGCACCGCATCGGTTCTCCTTTCAGGAGAAAGGTAGCCTCCCGGCCTCCCCCTTTGGAGTTAACGACGCACTCTTTCGCATTGCAATTTGCACATGGTTCTGCTTCATCGCTCGTTGTCCATGCGAACTCACAATGTCCCAGCCAGACCAGTATGCGCGCGCATTCGTTCATCTCAATAGATAACTGTTCAATCAGCCCTCGCTCAGAAAAAAGTCAGCATGCGCGCACATGTCGAAGTCGGAGCAAACACGCTATTTTTGGAAGCGCTTTAACATTCAGATAACAGACGCGTTGTGGTTTTCCTTCGCAGTTCTTGCGCATTTCTGCCCGCGCGCAGTTGCTGACATCACAGGGCAACCATCTGATTTTAGCAATCCCGTCTAGAATCCGCACGCATTCGTATATCACCGCGCGGCGCATCCGCGTTGATCTACCATGCGCCCAGTGCACGAATCTGTATTATATTACACCATGCAGGCCACACGCGCGCGCCGCCACGCGCGCGTGTCGAAACCCGTTCAAAACCAATGATTCCGGAAGTATATCAAGGCAGATCTTTTCAAAGACATGACACAACATGCTGTTTCATCAAATCGTCGGCCAGGTTCATTGCGTTTCCCGCGCGGACTTCCCCACCATCACACATCCGTGCCACCGCATCACCGCCGTTATCGTCTTCGCAAGTCGCCGCCATTGCCGCCAACATCACTCAATCACCTTCGTCGCCGACACACGGACATCATCGTCGTCATCGTCGTCACAAGCATCGGCTCCAAACTTGATTTTGCCGCTGTCATCGTCATCATCGCCACCAACGCTGCTATCATCATCGTTGCCGCCGTCACCGACATCATCATGATACCGCGCCCGCCCGAGCCAGCGACCCGCACTGAAGTACCCGCGCGCCAGCACGGCCTTTGAAGCGCGCTAGAAAGATCTCTCTGGTAAAGGCCATCGCGGCCGCATCCGTCGTGCCAAACCAGCTAGCCGCTCTGCGCGCGAGGTTGCGCGAGTAAGCGCTGCTGCAGAGATGCGCCAATCAGTGTCAAGCAGTCATTGCAATCGCGGCCGCGTGGGTTTCGCAAGGCCAGTTGCGGGTGGTAGGGTGGGATGTTTGCACGAGCAGTGGACCTTACAATTCTTTATTGATTTTGTTTTCATGTTTTACGACGCATCTAGATGGCACTGCACAGATTGCACCCCATACTTTGCACACCAGATCCTGAACCTCGTAGCTTGCACAGTTACGCGCTGCATCTTCCAGACTGCACATTATAATTTGCACAGTATGAATTGCTCAACGCTTTGGACTGGGCAGATTGCAGCCCACAGCTTGTTCCACATAGGTCTCGCTACTTAATTTGCACCACATATTTAAAGCCACGCAAAGACAATGCACCACACATATATATATATATATATATATATATATATATATATTACCGCGCAGGCTGCACATCGAGAGTGCAAGCATCCATCTGTTGAGGTCCACGTTGGAAAACGCATATGTGCATATCGGAGGACGGGGGCCAACGGGACTTACATCGTCCCTGGGTGCGTGGCTTACTTGTGGTTCCGCGATGCGTATTTCCGTTGTTCTTCTAGATGTCAGCCCCGCCTTGTGACCTGTTCCGCGCGTGGCCGAACGGTCTAAGACTGTCCTTGGTACTTGGTTCACGTGGGATTCCGCGTTGCGGATGTTCGTTCTTGTCGGCGTCGCCCTTTTGACCCGCCCGCGCCCCGCGCCCCGCTCCGCGACCCACCCGTAACCCGCCTGCGACCTGCCCCGCGACCCACCCGCGATTTGCTGCGCGGTTCGCCCGCAACCCACCCACGAGCCACCCGCGACCCGCCGCGCGGTTCGCCCGCCGACCCGCCGAATATTCATCGGCGACCCGCTCACGTTATTTCGCAAAAGAATGGCACCAGCGGTGGGCTCGCTGTGTAAAAGACTTGGCGCTTGCGGCGGATTTCTTTCACGTTTGCCCCAAGCCTCGCAATCAGCCGACGAACCCCGTTTCTTATTTGCGACTGCGGGGGCTATAGTGGACACATGCGCATGTACACTACATGGTGCCAAGGCGTGGACCCACTACAACATGTTGCTGAGCTCCCCTCGTGCAAGCTAGGAGCGGGACTCGCAGTGACAGTAATGGTGGTGTCAACAACAGGGCACAATAGAGCACCAATCGTAGTGCACCGTAGGCACCAACAGTACGGCACCAGCCGTAGAGCACTATAGAGCGCAATGCACACGAGACCAACCAGAGGGCACCAACTATTAGTCACCAGCCCTCGGGCACAAGCCACACGGGACATGCCAAAGAGCACCAAACACAGGGCACGATATGGAACCAACCATCAGGCACCATTCGAGGAACAACCAATAGCATGAACATACACTTGAGACGGTCCGCGCGAATTTCTTGGATCCGCGCTGGGCCCCCTGGCGGCACTTTCGGCGACACCCATGGCGCGTTCCGTGCGCCCGGGATAGGGGGTCCAGCGCTGATCTAAGAAATCAGCGCTGATCTAAGAAATGCAAATGTTTGCTTCTATAACCCTGTTGCTGCTGATGATGATGGTGATGCTGATGATGACGATGATGATGATGATAATGACGATGGTGATGATGATGATGATGATGATGATGGTGATGGTGATGGTGATGGTGATGAGGATGATGATGCTGATGTTGATGATGATGCTGATTACCATGATGCTGATGATGATGCTGCTGATGATGATGTTGCTGATGATGCTGACGATGATGATGATGATGATGATGATGATGATGATGATGTTGCTGGCGATGCTGATGCGGATGCTGATGGTACTGATGATGATGCTGATGCTGATGCTGATGCTGCTGATGATGATGATGATGATGCTGGCGATGCTGTTGCTGCTGCTGATGATAACGTTGATGATAGTGGCGATGATGATGACGATAATGATGACGACGATGATACTGAGGATGATGATGCTGATGTTGATGATGATGGTGCTGATTACCATGATGAGGACGAACACGATGATGATGATGCTGATGATGCCGATGATGATGCTGCTGATGATGTGGATGTTGATGATGATGGCGATGATGATGACGATGCTGATGACGATGATGTTGATGATGGTGGTGATTGTGACGATGATGACAATGACGATGAGGATGATGATAGTGATGATGACGATGATGCTGAAGATGATGATGATGATGATGATGATGATGATGATGATGATGATGATGATGATGATGATGATGGTGGTGATGCTGCTGGTGATGATGATAATGACAATGATGATTATTATTATGCTGCTGATGCTGGTGATGATGATGATGATGATGTTGCTGGCGATGCTGATGCGGATGCTGATGATGATGATGATGATGGTGATGATGATGATGACGATGATGACGACGACGATAATGATGATGCTGATGCTGATCATGGTGATGGTGATGATTACCATGATGAGGACGATTACGATGATGATGCTTATGATGCTGATGATGATGCTGCCGATGCTGATGATGTGGATGTTGATGATGATGGCGATGATGATGATGATGATGATGATGATGATGATGATGATGATGATGATCGATGACGATGCTGGTAATGATGATCTTGATGATGATGGTGGTGATGATGACAATGACGATGACGATGAGGATGATGGTAGTGATCCTACTCACTCAATCACTCACTCAACCGGCGATCTCCTTAGCTATGAAGTTCTGCACCTTGTCTTCAGAGACGTGGGTCTCGAGGTTGCTGTGGCAGTGCCCGACTCCATAATGCTGGATACCGAGGCGACGTATGGTCATGAGGGCAAGGAAGCCTGCAGGAAACAGAAAGACGACACGTCACCAATCCCCACCCCTCCCATCCAGAGCACTCCAGAGCCTCAGAGCTGGGCACGATTGAGTCTCCCGGCCGTCCTCGCGCTGCTGAGGCGGCCGTGGCGTGGCTGACTGGCTGTGCTGGTTGACGTTGGTGCTGAACTCGGTGCTGGTTGACGTTTTCCTTTAGCTTCTCCCCCTGCTCCTTCTTCTGTCTTTCGCGCTGTCCTCCGCCCCCGCTTGTTTGCTGCTTTGCATTGCATGCCCGTCCCAGTTCTAGTTAGTTCTTTCTTCACCCGCACCGCCCCCTCGTCTTGGAGGGGGGGCGGCGTCCTCCGCCCTGGGGGCGTCAGGGGCGGTTTGCTCTCAGAGCTTCCCGTCCCCCTGCACCCCCCAGGTGCGGATCCACAGTCCCTTTAGTCTTACCCTGCGCGCTCTCGTTTCCCTTCTCTCTCTTCCTCCCCTTCCTTTCCCCGCTCCTGTGGGTCCTATGTGCGCGCACCCTGGGCGAAGCCCCAGTTGGTCTTCGCATTCGCGAGCTTGGCTCCCTCGCTCCTCTCCCTCCTTGCGCGCCCGCGGACTTCAATTTTCGATCTCACGGCCCAGCTCCAGCCGAGCTTCGTCCAACGTGCTGCAACCATCTTGCTGCGGTCACGTCGCCCCGTTTGTTCCCCCTCCTTTCCGTCCTCCTTCCCCCTCTCCCCGCGCGGCCTCTCTCACAGAATTTCGGCCACGGTCGCAGGACAACCCTGCGCGTCCTGTGCAGTTGCCGGTTTCTGCTCGCTGCTTCGTTCTGTGAACCGTGCGTGGGGGTCAGAAAAGCCCCCTCGAGGGGCAGCGGATTCTCGAGAGAATGATTTGTTTGCAGGGGGAGAGAATAAAGGATGATGGTAGTGATGATGACGATGATGGTGAAGATGATGATGATGATGATGATGATGATGATGATGATGATGATGATGATGACGATGATGATGATGACCATGATGACGATGACGACGATGGCGATGATGACGATGATGATGCTGATGCTGATGATGCTGATGCGGATGCTGATGATCATGCGGACGTGGCTGATAATGGTGATGATGATGGTGATGATGGTGGTGATGATGATGATGGTGATCATGAGGATCATGATCATGATGATCGTGATGTTTCAGATTATGACGATGATGATTATGGTGGTGGTCGTTGTGGTGGCGGTAATGGTGATGCTGCTGCTGCTGATGATAAGGATGATGATGAGGATGATGATGATGATGGTAATGATGATGATGATGATGATGATGCTGATGATGATGATGATGATTGTTCTCTCTTCCAGGTGTATACCCGTTTGGATCTCTGATTATATTGCTGCCGTGGGCCTGCGTCGTTGAAACCGCTTGGCGTGCTGAGGCAGTGTTGCTAGGATTGCTTCGTCTGTGTTTCAACGCTGCCCGTCGATCCGACCGGTCTGCTCGGGCTACGGTGCATCGGCAAACTTGCAGCGACCAACCTGGAGAGAAAAGCGAGCTGCACTTCTCCACTACACTTATCGCTCAACGGAATAGTTTCTTTCGAAGCGTGCTGGTGGACTTTCTACACATACACATCCCATCGGAGCTTCGTGCAGCCTACCGCAGGCAGCGAGCATCCAAGTTTTCGGTTGGTACCTTCGACAGGGCAATAGGGTACCAGCGCATGTTCTTGGACGGGTTCGCCATGGACCCTGTGGGACGGGGGGGGGTTGGTGGTCATATGCTCCTGAGGAAGAGGAAGATGGGCAGGTAGGAGGCGGAGGGGGGATGAGTGGAAGGGAGAGGGACAGAAGGAGGGAAAGGAGGAGGGGGAGGTGGACGAGGAGGAAGAGGAGGAGGAGGAGGAGAAGGAAGAGGAGGAGGAGGAGGAGAAGGGTGAAAAGAAGAGAAGGGAGGAGGGACCAGAGGAGGGAGGAGGAGGAGTAGGAGGAGGAGTAGGAGGAGGAGGAGGAGGAGGAGGAGGAGCAGAAAGAGTGAAAGGGAATGCTTGAATGTGTACGTCCAAGGTCCTGGCATACTTACCGTGCACTCCGAAAGGGGGGGCGTTCGTGCAGGAATGCGCCCAGGAGGCTTCATAACCTGGAGAATTTCTTCTCTAATGAGGGCGTCGGTGATATCGATGGCCACCCCACGATTGGAGTTCCACCAGCTTCCAGACCCCAGATTCCTTATCTGACGGTTCCTTATCCAATGCCTTTGTCGTCCGTAGCCATTTTGGCTCAAGCCGATCCCATTTGCGCGCTCTCGTTTTGGGCCCCGCGGGTGGCCGCAGAGAGCGACTGCTTGGGGGATGGCTGCGGGCGGCGGCCGAGCTGCCTGTACGGCAGCCGAGCAGCCTCAGCACGGCGGGGCTGCGGCTTCGCTCTGGCCTGCGCGACGTGCCCGACGGGCCGCGGCGCGTGAGGCCGACCAGGGCAGGCTGCGGGCGGCGCTGGGGCGCGTCGCAGTCCTCGAGGCGGAACTCGCGGCTCTGCGGGTCGCCCACGAGGCGGCGGCGGCCCAGGCGCTGGCGCTGGCGGCCCAAGGCTCAGCCCATCTTCCCAGCGAGGCGCTCCACCGCGAGGTCTCCGAGAGGCTGGCGCTGGCGGTCCCCGTCCTCCTGGAGGTGCTGGCAGGCCCGCAGCGTGCGGCGGCCGACACCTCTTCGGCCCCTCGGCCGCCTCCTGGGCCCTTGCGGCTTCGCCAGCGCTCACCGAGTCGACGGCGCCCAGAGCATGCCCCTCAGCGGCGTGCTACAGGGTGCAGGCGACGGTGCTGGCACGGCCGCGGGCGAGCCTACCCAGGCTCAGGCAGGCGAGCGGTGGGGCAGCGGCAGCCGTGCGGTGGCTGGTGTGGGTCCGCTGCACCGTTCTCGGCGCAACGCTGGGCTCCACTGCGCAGCAAGGAGGGCCGCTAGCATTTCGGTGATGCGGCAGTCCTCCCTCAATCGCCTGCAGAGGTCTGCGAAGGCGGGGCGGGTACACCTCGGAGGGCAAGCTCGGCACGGTCGCGTCCGCGGCGCTGGTGTTCGCGCACGGGCTGCTCTTCCTCTACCTCGCTCTGCTGGTGCAGCCTCCCATGTGCGGCAGCGGTCGGAGGAGCGTCGCCCCCCTCTCCGAGGCGGCGTTCCTGCCCCGCCGCGCCGCCAGCCAGAGGCGCGTGCCGCCTGCGAGGCGGCCCCGAGCGATTGGACGGTCGCTCGGGCCTACCGCGGGCGCAGCGCGCCGCCTGGCGCCATCTTCGCGCTGGCCGAGCGCGCGAGGCGGGCTCCCGAGGCGAGGCCGCTGCCCTTGGCCTCGGGCCCGCGCTGGTGGAAGTGGAGCGTCGAGGACAGCGACGTAGTCGGCGTCGGCGGCGCCTCGCACGGCACCCACTTCGACAGCAAGGAGGCGCAGAAGGCTCCCGTGGCGGCGGCGCCCATGGGGCTCGACAAGCACAGGCCTGAGAGCAGCGGCGGCTTCGGCGAGCACCCTGCCCCTCGGCCTTCTGAAGGTGGTGCTGGTCATCCTCATCGCCTCCCTGATCCTGGTGCGGCGTGCAGCACTGCCTGCACCTCCTCTCCTGCTGCTTTCGCGGACCCCTCGATCGTCACGGCGTACTTGCTGGCCAACGAGGCTGCCGTCCTCAGCGGTGGCAGCGAGATGGCCGCTGGCGACATCGACGGCGAGCTCAGCATGCAGGTGGACGGCTCCCGCAACCAGGACGGAAACAGTGCTCTGGCCTCGGATGCCGTGGCGCACGGCGGCTTCGACCTCTCCCCGCACTTCGGCACGGCCGACGGCGTGGAGGCGGCTGGGCCCCAGCGCAACGGCGGCAGGAGCCTGGGCGACGACGCCCTCCTCACTTCGCCTCCCTCGGGTTCCTGCTCCTGCTCTGGCGGCGGGGGGATCGATGTGGAGGACGGCGAGGGCGGCGTCGGTGGCGGCTGTACGCTCCACGGCTCGGAGACGGTGGCGCGCCAGGAGCCCGCGCGTGGGCCCAAGCGGCTCTTGGCGCTGCGCCGCCACGTCTTCGAGGGAACCGTGGCCCTCACGGTCGACCGTGACATTCGGAGGCTGGGCTGGCAGGGCGACGGCGGCGACGACGCTCCTCCAGCTCCCTCAGCCTCCGAGCTAGAAGCTGGGCGCCTCTGGCTCCGTGACACGTTCGGGCCTGGCTCCCCGCGGAGGGTGTGGGCCAGGCAGGAGCGGCAGCGGAGGCGCGAGGCGCAGCTCCAGCAGTGGGCGGCGGACACCGCTTTCTCGTTGCGAGCGTGGAGCCCCCAGTGAGGCGGGAACGGGCACCCGCCCCGCCTGCCCCAGGGAGGCTGTTTCGCCCAGGGCTCGAGGGAGCCCTGGGCTCCTTCGGCTTTGCCAGCGCTGCTGAAGCTCAGGAGCGAGGCAGGGCCGCCAGAGCGGCCAGGTCGGTGGACCCCAGGCCTGAAGTCGGCCTCAGCGCGGTGTGATGGTGCCGCGCTTCGGGGTCTGGTCCTGGCGGGCTGCGGGCTCGCGCAAGCGCTGTTTGCGGGGCCGTGAGACGGCATCTGAATTTGCCTGTGCATGATAAGCCCCAGGGTGATAGGATAAAAAAAAGGCCTTTGTCGTTCCGTAGCCATTTTGGCTCAAGCCGGTCCCATTTGCGCGCTCTCGTTTTGGGCCCCGCGGGTGGCCGCAGAGATCGACTGCTTGGGGGATGGCTGCGGGCGGCGGCCGAGCTGCCTGTGCGGCAGCCGAGCCGCCTCTGCACGGCGGGGCTGCGGCTTCGCTCTGGCCTGCGCGACGTGCCCGACGGGCCGCGGCGCGTGAGGCCGACCAGGGCAAGCTGTGGGCGGCGCTGGGGCGAGTCGCAGCCCTCGAGGCGGAACTCGCGGCTTTGCGGGTCGCCCACGAGGCGGCGGCGGCCCAGGCGCTGGCGCTGGCGGCCCAAGGCTCAGCCCATCTTCCCAGCGAGGCGCTCCACCGCGAGGTCTCCGAGAGGCTGGCGCTGGCGGTCCCCGTCCTCCTGGAGGTGCTGGCAGGGCCGCAGCGTGCGGCGGCCGACACCTCTTCGGCCCCTCGGCCGCCTCCTGGGCCCTTGCGGCTTGCGGGAGCGGGCGAAGGAGAGCAGGGGAACGGGCAGGCAGCAGCGGCCGCCAGCGCTCACCGAGTCGACGGCGCCCCGAGCATGCCCCTCAGCGGCGTGCCACAGGGTGCAGGCGACGGTGCTGGCACGGTCGCGGACGAGCCTACCCAGGCTCAGGCAGGCGAACGGTGGGGCAGCGGCAGCCGTGCGGTGGCTGGGGTGGGTCCGCTGCACCGTTCTCGGCGCAACGCTGGGCTCCACTGCGCAGCAAGGAGGGCCGCTAGCATTTCGGTGACGCGGCAGTCCTCCCTCAATCGCCTGCAGAGGTCTGCGAAGGCGGGGCGGGTTCACCTCGGAGGGCAAGCTCGGCACGGTCGCGTCCGCGGCGCTGGTGGTCGCGCACGGGCTCCTCTTCCTCTACCTCGCGCTGCTGGTGCAGCCTCCCAGGTGCGGCAGCGGTCGGAGGAGCGGCGCCCCCCTCTCCGAGGCGGCGCTCTTGCCCCGCCGCGCCGCCAGCCAGAGGCGCGTGCCGCCTGCGAGGCGGCCCCGAGCGATTGGACGGTCGCTCGGGCCTACCGCGGGCGCAGCGCGCCGCCTGGCGTCATCTTCGCGCTGGCCGAGCGCGCGAGGCGGGCTCCCGAGGCGAGCCTGCTGCCCTTGGCCTCGGGCCCGCGCTGGTGGAAGTGGAGCGTCGAGGACAGCGACGTAGTCGGCGTCGGCGGCGCCTCGCACGGCACCCACTTCGACAGCGAGGAGGCGCGGAAGGCTCCCGTGGCGGCGGCGCCCATGGGGCTCGACAAGCACAGGCCTGAGAGCAGCGGCGCCTTCGGCGAGCACCCTGCCCCTCGGCCTTCTGAAGGTGATGCTGTTCATCCTCATCGCCTCCCTGATCCTGGTGCGGCGTGCAGCACTGCCTGCACCTCCTCTCCTGCTGCTTTCGCGGACCCCTCGATCGTCACGGCGTACTTGCTGGCCAACGAGGCTGCCGTCCTCAGCGGTGGCAGCGAGAGGGCTGCTGGCGACGTCGACGGCGAGCTCAGCATGCAGGTGGACGGCTCCCGCAACCAGGACGGAAACAGTGCTCTGGCCTCGGATGCCGTGGCGCACGGCGGCTTCGACCTCTCCCCGCACCTCGGCACGCGCGGACGACGGCGTGGAGGCGGCTGGGCCCCAGCGCAACGGCGGCAGGAGCCTGGACGACGACGCCCTCCTCACTTCGCCTCCCTCGGGTTCCTGCTCCTGCTCTGGCGGCGGGGGGATCGATGTGGAGGACGGCGAGGGCGGCGTCGGCGGCGGCTGTACGCGCCACGGCTCGGAGACGGTGGCGCGCCAGGAGCCCGCGCGTGGGCCCAAGCGGCTCTTGGCGCTGCGCCGCCACGTCTTCGAGGGAACCGTGGCCCTCACGGTCGACCGTGACATTCGGAGGCCGGGCTGGCAGGGCGACGGCGGCGACGACGCTCCTCCAGCTCCCTCAGCCTCCGAGCGAGAAGCTGGGCGCCTCTGGCTCCGTGACATGTTCGGGCCTGGCTCCCCGTGGAGGGCGTGGGCCAGGCAGGAGCGGCAGCGGAGGCGCGAGGCGCAGCTCCAGCAGTAGGAGGAGGACACCGCTTTTTCTTGCGAGCGTGGAGCCCCCAGAGGGGCGGGAACGGGCACCCGCCCCGCCTGCCCCGGGGAGGCTGCTTCGCCCAGGGCTCGAGGGAGCCCTGGGCTCCTTTGGCCTTGCCAGCGCTGCTGAAGCTCAGGAGCGTGGCAGGGCCGCCAGAGCGGCCAGGGCTCAGCTCCAGCAGTAGGCGGCGGACGACGCTTTCTCTCTGGCGTGCGTGCTCTGCGGTGCAGTCAGCCTCGCTTGCCTTGCTTGGCATGCGGCTCCGCGCCGTGATAGGCGCGCATCGCTAAGTTTTGCCCAGGGCTCGAGGGAGCCCTGGGCTCCTGAGCGGCCAGGATGGCGGACCCCAGGCCTGCGGTCGGCCAAAGCGCGGAGTGTTGGTGGCCGCGCTTCGGGGTCTGGTCCTGGCGGGCTGCGGGCTCGCGCAAGCATTGTTTGCGGGGCCGTGAGACGGCATCTGAATTTATCCGTGCATGATAAGCCTCAGGGTGATGGGATAAAAATGCCTTTGTCGTATGATCTTGCTGCGCTGCAGTGCCGAGTGCCGACTCACGGCCAGTTCCAGGCAAGGCATCATCCTCGCAGGAGCGAGGTGGTCGGCCTCTCGCCTTCGGCACAAGCCGGACTTTGCCAACGGAGGTCAGCTCTGGCCTCTTCAGGGTTCAAGGGCCCGCCACATTAATCAGCCCGTCTAGCCAGCCGTCTTCTGCTGCTGCCCCTCCTGGTCCTCCTCGCCTTTTCACTCGCCCGATCTTGAGTTCTCTGCCTTCCCTCTGGCATTCCCGTTCCTTCCTCTCCGCCCCCCTCACCCTTCTGTCATTTCCCTCCCTTGCACCCCTCACGACCCTCTCGTGGCGTGCCGAGGGGGGGAACCGAGAGGGAGGCAGGCTTCTCAGAAGACGGCGGGGCTTTCCAGAGGCCCTCTGGCCACCCGAGAAGCCATCATTTGCCTCGGAGAGGCCCGCCCCCTCTGCAGCTGCCCCGCTGGCCTCGCCGCCGAGTGGACCTTGAGGGAGGATGAGTGGATGGAGGGCGGTGGACCTGGAGGGAAAACGGAGGAGGGTGTAGGCAGGAGTAGGGGCGAGGAGAGCGCGGGGGGGGGAGTACGAAGCCCCTCTGGCTCGCTGGAGCCTCGGCGCAGCGTGGCCGCTGACCTCCTCCTCCTCCGCCGCCTCCTCCTTCTTCTCCTCCTCTGGCTCGAGATGTCGTAGCTTCGGGTCTGGCCGGGGGGCCACGCCTCCTGTCCTCCCGTCGAGAGGCGGAGGCCGCGGGGGGGAGGAGGAGGCGGAGGAGGAGGAGGAGGAGGAGGAGGAGAAGGAGGAGGAGGAGGAGGAGGAGGAGGAGGAGGAGGAGGAGGAGGAGGAGGAGGAGGAGGAGGAAGAGGAGGAGGAGGAGGAGGAGGAGGAGGGGGGAGGAGGAGTTGGAGGAGGAGGAGGAGGAGTGTAAACGCAAGACTCATTAACCATGGTGTATACACCCTCCCTCCAAGTTTCCTCTTGACAGGCCCCTGCAGGGGGTCATTTCCACTCAGGGAAGTGCCCCGTTGGGGGACAACCGTGTGAACATCGTGAAGCGTGCCAAGACGTCATTCTCAGGACTTCAACTCCACGAGTCAACCTGACTGCAGCGACTTACTCCATTTCCGGGAATTCAACATCGCGAGTCAACGTAACTGTTGCGCCCTGACAATCCTGGATCGTTTCAAAACGCAAGTTCTGGTATGTCCGCCATCATAATCAGTAGAACCCATGCAAATGTTTGAAATAATATGCGCGACGCTAAGGCGAGAGCCACATGTTGAACATGACTCGCCCTCAATCCGTGAAGCTATTGCAAACGTTTGAAACGAATGTGCGCGGCGCTAAGGAGAGAACCACATGTTGAAAACCACCCGCCCTCAACACGTCTTGCGATATCTGAAAACGAGTTGCGCGGCGCTAAGGCGAGAGTCGCATTTTGAAAACCACCCGCCCTCAATCCGTGAAACTGTTGCAATTGTTTAAGACGAGTGTGTGCGGCGCTAAGGCGAGAGCCGCAGTTTTGGAAAGCGGCCCGCCCTCCAACTGTGAAGCTGTTGCTGAGCTTCAGGCTCACACATGGAAAGGAAGCCTCAGGCGAATTGCCTGGGCCGCCCTTCCGACTTCTCTCGGGGTGCGACAGGGAGGAGTTAGTTTTCACGCTTCGCGTATCCCCACCAGCTTCCGTAGCCTGGCTCAAGTAGTCTGGCTCAAGGCCGCTCTGGCTCGAACTGGCCTCAGCGGCTGGCCGGCCGTGGCCGGGGGCCTGCCCCTCGGTCCTCGGCCTCCCCGCCCGCGGGGGCGTGTGAGGGGTTCGCCCCCCTCCACGCCCCCGCTCGCTCGGCCATGGTGTCGCGCTCGGCGCGGCGGCGGCGGCAGCAGCACGCCGCCGCCTGCCGCGCCGCCGCCGCGGCCGGCCCGGCCGGCCTGCTGCCCGCGGCCCGGCGTGGCCCCTGGCCTCTGCGTGGCCGGCGGCGCCGCCGCCGCGCCGCGCGCAGCCGCCGCGACCTCCGCGGCTGTGGCGGCGGCCGCCGCGGCGATACCGCCGCGGCCGCCGGCGCTGTGGCACGCGCCGCCGCTCTGGGGCCAGCCGCGGCGGCCGCGGCCGCCGCGGGTGCGGCGGCCGCCGCCGTGGCCGCTGCGGCCGCTGGCGCCGCCGCTCCCGCTGCAGCTGGTGTCGCGGCCGACGCCGCGGACCTCCTTGGACATAATGCCGGTCCCCAACATCATCTCCTACGTCATCCTGAACAGCTGGTGCCAGGGCAGGCGCTGGCAGTGGCAGATGGCCGTGGCGCTGGTGTGCAAGATCCTGGTCGTGATGCTGGAGCCCAACTTCATCACGTACGGCACTGTGAACAGCGAGGGCGAGATGAGCAGGCGTCGGCAGTGGCAGCAGGCAGTGCCGCTGCTGGGCGAGATTGTGGCCGCGAAGCTGGAGCCCACCATCTTCACCAACGGCACTGTGAAGAGCGCGCGCGAGAAGAGCAGGCGGCAGCAGTGACAGCAGGTGGTGGCGCTGCTGGGCGAGATTTTGTCAGCGAAGCTGGAGCCCAACATCATCACCTACGGCACTGTGAAGAGCGCGTGCGTGAAGAGCAGGCGTCAGCAGTGGCAGCAGGATGTGGCGCTGCTGGTCGAGGCCCCGGTCGTGATGCTGAAGCCCACGTTCATCAACTCTGGCACGGTGAACACCGCGTGCGAGAAGAGAAGGCGTCGGCAGTGGCAGCAGGCAGTACCGCTGCTGGGCGAGATTGTGGCCGCGAAGCTGGAGCCCACCATCTTCACCAACGGCACTGTAAAGAGCGCGTGCGAGAAGAGCAGGCGGCAGCAGTGGCAGCAGGTGGTGGCGCTGCTGGGCGAGATTTTGGCAGCGAAGCTGGAGCCCACCATCATCATCTACAGCACTGTGAAGAGCGCGTGCGTGAAGAGCAGGCGTCAGCTGTGGCAGCAGGATGTGGCGCTACTGGACGAGATTGTGGCAGTGAAGCTGGAGCCCAATATCATCACGTACGTCACTGCGAACTGCGCGTGCGAGAAGAGCAGTCGTCGGCAGTGGTGGCAGACTGTGGCGCTGCTGAGCGTGATGGCGGTCGTGCAGCTGGAGCCCAACATCATCACCTACCACATCCGGAACAGCTGGTGCGAGAAAGGCGGGCGTTGGCAGCGACAGCAGGCAATGGCGCTGCTGAGCGAGATGGTGGTCGTGCAGCTGGAGCCCAGCATTACCCCCTGCAGCGCCCTGATCAGCGAGTGCGAGAAGAGCAGACGTTGGCAGTGACAGCAGGCAACGGCGCTGCTGTGCGAGAGGGCAGCAGCAAAGCGGTAGCCCAACATCATCACTCAGGGCACCCTGACCAGCGCATGCGAGAAGAGCAGGCGTTCGCTGTGGCCGCTGTCCGCGAGGACCAGTCCGCGGACATCACGGCTGCTGCGCGCAACTTCGCCTTCGCGGAGTTGACGTCCAGCGACCCCGCGGCCGACGTGGCGAACGGCCGCCTTGCCAGGTTGGCGATCCTCGGCATGTTCCTCCAGGACTGCCGGACTGGCTCCGCCCAGGGCGACGGGGCGCTGTACACTGGATCCCCGCTGCGCGCCTTCAAGTTCGAGAGCGAGCTGGGCGGTCAGGACCCCTCGGGCCTTTGGGGCCCTGCAGGCTGCACAGCGGATGGCTGCGCGGAGAACCTCGCTCACCAGTGGCAGGCGGAGCCGAAGAACGGCCGCGCGAGCATGCTGGCGACCGCGGGCTACATCACGCCTGACATCGCTGGCAAGCTGCCCAAGTCGCCTTCGGCTGACCTGGAGGTCGCGGACATCCCGCGCGGGCTCGAGGCGCTCCCGAAGGTTCCTGCCGCCGCCTGGGCACAGATCGCGGCGCCTGGCGCTGGCGCGTCATGCCCCTCCCTCCCATCCCTTGCCATGGCGCAGGTCTCCTCTCCTTTCACACAGCCAGATGCCGATCGAAGGGCCGACGAGAATCGGATTGTCAAAGACACTTATGCCAACCAAGCTCCCGGCAATCCTGCGTGTCCAAAACAATGCGTGGAGGTGTGCCAGCCAAGAGATCTCGATATTCACAACGACATCTTGGAACATAGCAGCAGCAGCAGCGGCAACATGCCACCCCCCGTTTCGTCGACAGACGATGACGCCCCAGAGGGGAACCGAGAGACGGTTGAGGCAGAGGTCACGATACCACCCCCGCATCGTGGTCAGACGATGACGTCCCAGTGGGGAATCGAGAGGAGGTAGCGGCGCCTGCAGTGACCAGCGCACAGCTCACACTAACGACCCCCCCCTCCAGCAGTACCATCAGGCCAGGGGAAAGGAGCGGGAAGTCACGGCGGAGACGGCGGAGGCTGCGGAAGCCGCGGAGCACCCCCCTCAGGACAATCAGTCCGTCAGCAGTCCTCTGGGAGAGCCACGCACCCAGCAGGGAGACCACGGAGCAACCACCCAGACGCAGGACAGCGAAGCCATCCGCTGGCTCGTCGGGAGAAGCCGCTTCGCGCCTATTCGCCCCCCTTCCCCTGTCAGTGAGCTTCTTATGGACGGCGAACCCCAGACGCCCTCGTCAGGCGTCCAGGGCACCACTGGCAAAGCAGCTTGCGCCCGGGCTATGGAAGCTGCGCCGCCGAGCGTGCACGCGCCCGGCACAACCAGTGGCACCCCAGAGGCCGGAGAGAGTCCCGCGCTGTCCAAAGGGGGCGCACCTGGGAGCGACGGCGGGCACAGGCCCGAAGGCGAACGTCAGCAAAAGGGGCCCCTCCCCACGTGCCACAAGGACGCGTCTGCCCTGGCCGCCCGACGCGATCCGACCCCAGCCTGGCGGCCAACCATGAGGCCTGCATTTCCCCGCAAAACCCTGCCAGGCGTGCAGCTGGAGCTGTCGCGAGCAGATCGCGAGCCCCCCAGCCAGGACAACGAGGTCCGTGCGGTGGAGACGTGCGGCCAGGATACACGGCGGCACCAGAGGCCCGACCCGCGTCAATGGCCAGAGCCCAAGGGCCCCGACTCGGGACACCAGCTGTGCAAAACTGGAATCAACAACATCCAGTGGGACCTCCCCGGGGAGACACCCGGCGAGGCGATGCGACGACTCCAAGTCACACTGGGGCCGATGTTCACTGGCACCTGGCACGCTTTCGCCATGCGGCAGT